AAAAAATAAAAAACACAAAAAGAGCTTGTTGACTTCAATCTACTTTATAGTGATGTGTAGTCCTTCTGGTGTTATTTATTATTATTATTATTATTTTATTTACGATATTTATATGTTGCCCTTCTCACCCCGAAGGAGATTCAGAGCAGCTTACAAGTAAAAAGAAAATACAATATATTATATTATTATCATAGCACAATATTAATATTATATATTACATTGTACTATAACATTATACTGTAATATTATTAGTAATATTACATTTAATATAAAATATATAATTATAATATATTATTCTTAGTAGTATTATATTGTATTAAATTATAATGTAATAAAGCCTGTAAAACTTTTCTTTTCCAGCAAGCTTTTGACAGGTGAACAACCCGGACTATGCCTGTTCTTGCTGCCTATTGTTTTGTTATTGTTATTTTTAAAGCTAATTGTATTGTTTTAATCTGCTTCTGTAAACTGCTCTGAGCCAAATTGGGAGTAGCGGTATACAAGTTAAATAAATAAATAAAATTATCAATATTATATGTATATACAATATATTATATTACATTATATTATATTTTTATCACTTTGATAGCATTGTTTGTTTCTTACATCCCCTTTCTCCATCACAACATTTGAAGAGCAACTACGTTCCTGTTTATTATAGTCCCTTTTTAAAAGTTATTATTTTCTCAAATAGTCTTTAACCAGTTCCCAGTCTGTTTGGATTCTTGGTCTGCCTCGATTTGTTGTTGTTAAATACGTCACTCTATCCATGTTCATAATTTCCATTATTTTTAACTATTGATCGACCGAAAGTATTTCTTTACTTCTCCAATTTCTAGAGTAGACAATTACTAAGTAGTTTCCCTTGACTTTATTCACTTTGCCATTTTTTGGATTACTGCTATTTTTGTATTTCCTATTTTTGGATTGCTTTTATTTTGTATTTTCTATTCCACTGACTCTTTTGGAAATGCCCCTTTTCTCTTTGTACCTGCTTTCCTTAATCAACCTTTCTAGATAGTATTTATTTATTTCTTATTTCTGGTATTTATATCCCGTCTCTTCTCTACCCCGAAAGGAGGACTCAGGACGGCTTACATAGGCAGCAATTCGATGCCGTTACATGAACAATTAATACAATAACCATTAAACAAACCATCAAACCATTAAAATACATAAAATACATAAGCTATATAAGCCATTAATTAAACGATATAAAAACATGTGGTGTTACCAAATAGAATCGTATCCTCATGTAAATCGCCTTTCCAATCCATTTCCACTAAAGTACTAATTTATGTCTGCTGACCAAAAGCCTAGTCCCATAGCCATGAGGGATGGGATTCATCGTATCTCACTCGGAAGTGTGTTCCACAGGCGGGGGGCCACCACCAAGAAGGCCCTGTCTCTCATCTCCACCAGCCGCATTTGTGATGTTGGTGGGAGCGAGAGCAGGACCTCCACAGATGATCTTAAGTTACGAGGTGGAACGTAAAGGCAGATGCGTTCAGACAAGTAAGCTGGACCAGAACCATTTAGAGCTTTATAGGTCAAAACCAGCACTGGACTCTGGTGTGGTACTGGGTGAAAAGGTGTTTCAGACCTAGACTGCAACCACTACCATCAATTTCCTCCCTGTTCACTCTTTTCCCAGCTTCATTTTAAGCAGCATTACCTGATGCGGAGTGAAGGAGCGGACGTGGGCCAGCAGCGGCTCTCGCAACTCTGGGCACTTCTCAAAGACGGCGCTGAGCTGCTGTGGAGGCAACTGGAGGATGACCTGGAAGGACTGGGGCTTAGTGCGCTGGCAGCACTTGATGAAGCCCTCCCAGACCTTGGGATACTTCCACACCTGGGGAGGAAGCAGAGTGTTAGCATCAGCAGGATGAATCTCCTCTGTATTTTGTCCCTCTGAGACATAAGAGTGGCCTAGAGCACATGTGTCAAACTCAAGGCCAGTGGGCCGAATCCAGTCCGCCGTGTCCTTTTATGTGGCCCTCCAGATGTTGGACCACAATGCCTATATTCGTCATCATTAGACATTTTTATTTATTTTATTTCATGCATTTCTACCCGGTCCTTCTCCCCCCCGAAGGGGGACTCAGGGCGGCCTCACACACGCATCATGCATATAAACAACAACGATTACAGTTAAAACAGTAAAAATCATTAAAATACATTATACAAATTCATTAAACAATAAATTAAACATGCCAATTAAAACCAAGTCATGGTATATCTAATGTTGCAGATGTCCTAAATTTTCTTTCCAGTTGCTGCTGTCCACTAATTGAATGCCTAGGACTAGAGCCAATGGGAGTTGTGATGCAGTACCATCTGGAAAGCTGAGTCAGGATAGTGGGTTCTGAACTTTGATACAGGGTTAATGAATATGATGTCTGACTTTAAAATCCCCTTTAACCTTTCCCCAACCTCAGAGCCACAGTGCACTGGGGTTGCAATTCCCATTATCCCCAGATAATAAAAAATGATGGGAGTTGTCATTCAAGAACATCTGGGGAACCAAATTGGGTAACAGCTAAAGGAGACTAGAATGGAATTAGAAAGGAGTAGAAATTGAGCTATATCAGAAGAGTGTGTAATCTCTTTTACTTGTAATAATAATAATAATAATAATAATAATAATAATAATAATTTATTTATACCCTGCTCCAACTTCTCCAGGGGGACTCAGGGCGGCTTACATGAGGTCACGCCCATCAGTACAATAAACACAATATAACAAAACCAGAAAATAAAATACATAAAAAGCAAAACCAATACAATAAGCAACACAGCAATATAAAATCAAACATTAAAACACAAAAGATTACACTGGGCAGGGCCAATTCAGAGATAAAATTTTAAAACACTGGGAGATAGGGCAATATAAAATGGTCGGAGAGGGGGATCCGGGGACGAGGAAGGATTTAATTGCACAAACCATAAAATAAAGTGCTTCTGAGGTCATTTTATGCGAAGTTTGGTCAGGGAGTGCCTTACATTCAATCAATGAAGGCACATTGGAATAACCAGGTTTTCAGGTTGCTTCTGAAGATTGTATTGGTTGATTACGTTTCTTTAATGTTTAAAGCTGAAGAGATCAAGAGAAGGTGGCGATACTATACAGAAGATCTGTATAGGAAGGATAATAATATCGAGGACAGTTTTGACGGTGTGGTGAATGAATTAGAACCAGACATCCTGAGGAGTGAGGTTGAATGGGCCTTAAGAAGCATTGCTAACAACAAGGCAGCAGGAGACGACGAGATCCCAGCTGAACTGTTTAAAATCTTAAAAGATGATGCTGTCAAGGTGATGCATGCCATTTGCCAGCAAATATGGAAAACACAAGAATGGCCATCAGACTGGAAAAAATCAACTTATATCCCCATACCAAAAAAGAGAAATGCGAAAGACTGCTCCAACTTCCGTACAGTGGCCCTTATTTCTCATGCCAGTAAGGTAATGCTCAAGATCCTGCAAGGAAGACTCCAGCAATACATGGAGCGAGAGTTGCCAGATGTTCAAGCCATATTGCCAATATCCGCTGGATAATGGAGAAAGGCAGGGAGTTTCAGAAAAACATCTACTTCTGCTTCATTGACTATTCTAAAGCCTTTGACTGTGTGGATCATAATAAACTGTGGCAAGTTCTTGGTGGGATGGGCATCCCAAGCCACCTTGTCTCTCTCCTGAGGAATCTGTACAAGGACCAAGTAGCAACAGTAAGAACTGACCATGGAACAACAGACTGGTTCAAGATTGGGAAAGGCGTACGGCAGGGTTGTATCCTCTCACCTATTCAACTTGTACGCAGAACACATCATGCAACACGTGCGGGGCTTGACGAATGCAAGGCTGGGGTGAAAATTGCTGGAAGAAACATTAACAACCTCAGATATGCAGATGACACCACTGATGGCCGAAAGCGAGGAGGAGCTGAGGAGCCTTCTAATCAAGGTGAAAGAAGAAAGCGCAAAAGCTGGGTTGCAGCTAAACATCAAAAAAACCAAGATTATGGCAACAAGAATGATTGACAACTGGGAAATAGAGGGAGAAAACTTGGAGGCCGTGACAGACTTTGTATTTCTAGGCGCAAAGATGACTGCAGATGCAGACTGTGGCCAGGAAATCAGAAGACGCTTCCTTCTTGGGAGGAGAGCAATGTCCAGTCTCGATAAAATAGTAAAGAGTAGAGACATCAGACTGGCAACAAAGATCCGCCTAGTCAAAGCCATGGTATTCCCTGTAGTCACCTACGGATGTGAGAGCTGGACCTTAGGGAAGGCTGAACGAAGGAAGATCGATGCTTTTGAGCTGTGGTGTTGGAGGAAAGTGCTGAGAGTGCCTTGGACTGCGAGAAGATCCAACCAGTCCATCCTCCAGGAAATAAAGCCCGGATGCTCACTGGAGGGAAGGATACTAGAGACAAAGTTGAAGTACTTTGGCCACATCATGAGGAGACAGCAAAGCCTAGAGAACACAATTATGCTGGGGAAAGTGGAAGGCAAAAGGAAGAGGGGCCGACCAAGGGCAAGATGGATGGATGGCATCCTTGAAGTGACTGGACTGACCTTGAAGGAGCTGGGGGTGGTGACGGCCGACAGGGAGCTCTGGCGTGGGCTGGTCCATGAGGTCACAAAGAGTCGGAGACGACTGAACGAATGAACAACAACAATGTTTCTTTATTTTTATTTATTAACTGTATTTATAGCCTGCCTTTCTCAGCCCTAAGGCGATTCAAGGCAGGTTGCAGATTGGCAACAATTCAATGCCATACATTCATAAAAATACAATTAAAAATATTCACCGTAACAATATAAAAACCATATTAAAAAACCATTAAAACATATAATTACCAGTGTACTACTGTAATATAATGGTGACAGTTATATTCTACTTATAAAATCTTATAAAATAATTTTAAAAAATCACAGTAAATAAAGAACAACATTCTGAAAACAGGAGAATTCCAGACAGGAAACAATCAGGGCCAGCTAACAACTCCCAACAAAGGATTCCCCCAGGCAGGAATCAGTCAGGCCTTGAAGCTGAAATGCTTTGCAATGCTAATCAAGGTGATTAATTGCAACATTCACACTTGCCTCCAACAGACAAGAGCTCTTTCTCCCATTGTGGACCTTCAACAAATATATACACCTCCCTTGTCTAGTTTGCAATATACCTCACAACTTCTGAGGATGCCTGCCATAGATGTGGGTGAAACCTCAGGAGAGAATGCTTCTGGAACATGGACAGACAGACAAGAGTTCTTTCTTCCACCCTGGACATCATTCCACAGATATATAAACCTGACTTGCCTAGCTTCCAACAGACCTCACAACCTCTGAGAATGCCTGCCATAGATATGGGTGAAACGTCAGGAGAGAATGCTTCTGGAACATGGCCATAAAGGTTGGAAAACTCACAGCAAGCCAGTGATTCCAGTCAGGAAAGCCTTCGACAACAAATGTTAAAAATCTCCTAAAAATTATAGTTGGTTCTTCATATTTGCGGATTCAACTGCCCTTTGAAGGCAACCATAATAAGGCTGATGTGGCCTTGACAGAAATGCGTTTGGCAGCCCAGGCCTATGGGATCACGTTACGATGCAAACATAGGATGGAGGAACCCTGGGAGTAAGAAACAAGGTAGGCCCAGGCTTCTTCCTTGCAGTCCCTTTCTCACCTGCTTCAAGATGAGGCGGGAGAGGATGTTCATGACGAAGCCGCCCAGGCGCGGATACATGGTCAGCGACTGGATGACTGTCCGCATGAGGAGCATGGGCAACGGGCTCTGCTCCATGAGCTGTTGCATCACCACGGCCAGGACCTCCGATGTGTAGACGTTGCGCTCAGCAAAGCACAGGTTGGTGGCTGTGTGCATGGAAACAGGCAAAACCAGCTACTTATATATATATATATATATATCATATCTATAGGCATAATAAATAAATACAAATAATAAGTGTGAAAAATGTGTATGTGTGTATGTGGTGAAGCTGTCCATTTAGAACAGCGTTTCTCAAACTGGGGGTCGTGAGGGGGTTTCAGAGGGGTCGCCAAAGAACTTTGGAAAACATATATTTCTGATGGTCTTAGGAACCTCTTTGGCAGAGAAGGCTGAAGATCTCTCCACCTGTCCTTCTCTTCAGATGGCGAATCCTCCCACCAAAACCCTTACTCTGCTGTGGTTGGCCGGCCTCACAGCCAAATGGAGGCTGTACCTGAAACTCGAAGCGAGGAGGGGAGAGCAGGCATGCTCAGCACATGGTAGCATGGTGTGCATGCAGGGGAGAGCATGTGAGGCTGGAGAGAGGCTCACGCCAATGAGTCCCTTCAAGGCATGTGGGTTCTATGTGGGAAGTTTGGCCCAATTCTATAGTTGGTGGGGTTTAGATTGCTCTTTGATTGTAGGTGAACTATACATCCCAGCAACTACAACTCCCAAATGTCAAGGTCTATTTTCCCCAAACTCCACCAGTGTTCACATTTAGGCATATTGAGTATCCGTGCCAAATTTGGTCCAGATCCATCATTGTTTGAGTCCATAGTGCTCTCTGGTTGTAGGTGAACTACAACTCCTAAACTCAAGGTCAATGCCCACCAAACCCAGTATTTTCTGTTGGTCATGGGAGTTCTGTGTGCCAAGTTTGGTTCAATTCCATCATTGGTGGAGTTCAGACGGCTCTTTGATTGTAGGGGAACTATAAATCCCAGCAACTACAACTCCCAAATGAGAAAATAAATCTCACTCAACCCCACCAGTATTCAAATTTGGGCATATCGGGTATTTGTGCCAAATTTGGTCCAGTGAATGAAAATATATCCTGCAGATCAGATATGGTTGGGGGTCAACACAACATGAGGAACTGTATTAAGGCGTCGCGGCATTAGGAAGGTTGAGAAATATTTATTTATTTTATTTATTTACTGCATTTGTTGACCGCCGTTCTCAGCCCTAGGGCGACTCACGGCGGTGTACAACATATAAAAAACAGTTTACAATAAGGGAATATCACAACAAAATATCAACATAACTATCAATAATACAATTACACTAAATCATCCGCGCCGTCTCATCGTAGAATCATAAACCAATCTCGTTATCCATATTCCGTTCCAATCATCATTGCCAATTGTTGTAGCACTTAGTCAAACGCCTTCTCAAATAACCATGTCTTTAGGCTCTTGCGGAATGTCATAAGGGAGGGCGCCTGTCTGATGTCTACAGGGAGGGTGTTCCACAGCCGGGGGGCCACCACCGAGAAGGCCCTATCCCTCGTCCCCGCCAGACGTGCCTGTGAGGCAGGCGGGATCGAGAGAAGGGCCTCCCCAGACGATCTCAAGGTCCTCGTGGGCTCATAGGCCGAGATGCGGTCAGAAAGGTATTTTGGGCCGGAACCGTTTAGGGCTTTGTAGGCCAACACCAGCACCTTGAATTGGGCCCGGTAGCAGATCGGCAGCCAGTGGAGCTGGAACAACAAGGGCGTTGTGTGCTCCCTGCGTCCCGCTCCTGTTAGTAACATGGCTGCCGCGCGCTGGACTAGCTGAAGCTTCCGGGCCGTCTTCAAGGGCCGTCTTCAAATACTGATTTAGAAGGACTCCCGCCTCCACAAACAGGGTACAGTTCCCAGTGCTGAGGAGCCATCAAAAGCACTCCCTCCAAGGACACTGCAGGTTACAGCGAGCTACATCCTAGGGTTCCTTTCTCTCTCCATTGTAGTTCACCTGCGTCCAGACAGCACCGAACCCAGCCAACGTCAGATCTAGAACACACTTGGCACACAGACCCACAACATGGCCAGTTGTGCATACAGGTCTGGTTTGGGAAGGATTGACCCACAATTCTGGGAAGTGTAGTTCACCCACATTGTTATGTATTTTCTAATGAAAGCATTTATAAAAAAATGAAATTGAAAACTGGCTTTTTTTCTAATAAATAGTGTTACTAATTAACTAAATGATATTACCTAACACCCCAAAACAAACAATGCCTTTCAAAAACCTGGGCACTGCCAGGTGCCATACCTTTGATGATTGACTTCATGTCACACTTGGTGGAATCAATGTTGTGGAGGGCAATCAACAATTCCCCAGGATTCAAAGGAGAAACTGCCGAGTTGCCTTCACCTGTTCGAATGATGGCGAGAGAGAATCAACATCGGCCAGTACAAATAATTCATTAAGCAGAAAGCACAAAAGAGAAGCTACCAGAATCCCATAGTCAGTGGGCATGTTGGCTAGGGGGAACGACTCTCCTCACATATATACAGCAGAGTAGCTTATTAGCGTATTCCTTCTTTGCTTCCATACGGCTTCTTTCTCATGCAGATAAACAGCTTCAGTTTCAAAGAGACTCTTCTCACACCAAACTTATATAGGAGCTTCACACAGTAGCTTTACGCACAGCAGCCTTTGCACTGAAGCTTCATACACGATGGCCTTCAACCTGGGGTTTCTCTCCCTGAAGCTTCTCACACCAAGCCTTCTCATACTGAGGCTTGCTAACACTGAGGCCTGCCTCACACTGAGGCCTTCTCACACTGAGGGCTCTTTCAGACTGACGCCTCTCTCACACTGAGGCCTACTAACACAGAGACCATCTCATATTGAGGCCTACTAACACTGAGGCCTTTCTCCCACTAAGGCCTTCTCACACTGAGGGCTCTCTCAGATTGATGCCTCTCTCACACTGAGTCCTACTAACACAGAGACCGTCTCATACTGAGGCCTACTAACACTGAGGGCTACCTCACACTGAGGCCTTTCTCCAACTAAGGCCTTCTCACTGAGGGCTTTCTCAGATTGACGCCTCTCTCATACTGAGGCCTACTAACAGAGACTGTCTCATACTGAGGCCTACTAACACTGAGCCCTACCTCACACTGAGGCCTTTCTCCCATTAAGGCCTTCTCACACTGAGGGCTTCCTCAGACTGAGAGCTACTAAGATACAGGCACGCTTGCTTATATTGAACTGCAGCTTTTGCAGAGTCATTGTATCTATTTAACCCTTTCAGTGCTTGGCTCACATTTTTGTAATTAAAATACCTAGTTGATTTTTAATATTTCTGACAAGTAAATGGCATTTGGTCCATGACTTCCAATCCAGTTTGCATCTCTGCAGACTATTTGGGGGGCAATGAGTTGCATTACAGCTTTGCTGAGTATTCAGACAATGGTTTCATTCTATTCATTGTCCTTTTTCTTTCCCTGGGAAAAGCTTGTCACAGCAGCAGCTGAACTTTTGCCAATAGAGAAATACAAGGTCTGCTTGCAGCTTGGATCCCTACCGTGTTGTGTTCCCAGCAGGCGATTAAACACTTCCTTCACAACGATGGGATTCAGCTTGATGAGCTTTGGGAGGGCCTGAATCACCTCTTTCTGAAAGGAGAAAAGGCGAATGAAGCCTCAAAAAGGATCGGCAACAAATTCACATTGCATTTGCCATCAGACTCCCTGCACACTGCGCCACTTCCACAAAGACACAAGTATATTTGGAGATATTTGGCGATCGAATTGAAGGAAGAAGGACTCAGCAGCTATTAGACAAGTCACAACACGATTCTTTTCTCTTTTCTCGAGGGGAAGAAAGTCCAAGACTTTTACTAAGAGTGTCAAACTCATTCTCATTGAGGGTCACTTCCAACTTATGGTTGACTCCAAAGGGCTGTTGAATCCACAGATGAGAATCCATGGATACAGAGGGCCAACTCTCTCTCTCTCTATATATATATATAGATAGATAGATATACATATACATATGTGTGTGTGTGTGTGTGTGTGTTTACATCATAGTCAGGGCACTTTAGTTCTTATCCCCACTATTTATTATTGTTTATTTACCATATATATATCTCCCTTCTCAGCCCGAAGACGACAGAGGGTGGTTTACAAATGGCACAATTCAATGCCTCCAACAACACAAAATCCAATTCAAAACATTTAGCATAAATATAAAAACCACACAAAGCAACAAAAACCAATAAAAACATGAATACTCAGCATATTCATGTTTTTATTCATATATATATATGTTCATATTCATATGTTGCTTAGCACTTTTGATTGTTCAAAATGCACAGTGGGGATTATGGGAATTGAAACCGAACAGTACTTGTGGCTCTGAGGATGGGAAAAGGTGGAATGACATTTGAAAGTCAGGCATCATCTCCTCAAGCTTTGTATCTCAATTCAAAGCCCACTCTCCTTACTAAACAAAACAAAGGGCAGCCTTCCAGATGTTACTGTATCACAACTCCCATTAGCCCTAGTCATGATGCCTAATGATATAGAATACAGAAAATTTCAGCATCTCAAGGGCCACATAAAAGGACATGCTGGGCTAGATTTGGCCCACATGTGATCTACACACTGTAGATTTAAGCCTGTTTGACACCACTTGAACGGCCTGCCTTAGGGGAGCGTGCTTGCTCCATCCATGTTCAACATCTACACAAATGACCAGCCACTGCCAGAAAGGACAGAGAGCTTCATCTATACTGATGATCGTGCCATTACTGCTCAAGCAGGGAGCTTTGAGATGGTAGAACAGAAGTTCTCCGAAGCTCTAGGTGCTCCTACTGCCTATTACATTAAAACCAGCTGATCCCCAACCCATCTAAAACACAGACATGGGCTTTTCATCTCAAGAACAGACAAGCATCCCGAGCTCTGAGGATGACCTGGGAAGGAATCCCACTGGAGCATTGCAACACACCCAAATACCTGGGAGTCACCCTGGACCGTGCTCTGACCTACAAGAAGCACTGCCTGAACATCAAGCAAAAAGTGGGTGCTAGAAACAATATCATATGAAAGCTGACTGGCACAACCTGGGGATCACAACCAGATACAGTGAAGACATTTGCCCTTGCACTATGCTACTCTGCTGCTGAGCATGTATGCCCGGTGTGGAACACATCTCACCATGCTAAAACAGTGGATGTGGCTCTTAATAAGACATGCCGCATTATCACGGGATGTCTGCGCCCTACACCACTGGAGAAATTACACTGTTTAGCCGGCATTGCACCACCTGACATAAGTCGGGAAGTAGCAGCCAAGAGTGAAAGGACCAAGGCAGAGACATCTCCAGCTCATCCCCTGTTTGGGTATCAGCCAGCATGTCAACGACTTAAATCTAGAAATAGTTTTCTAAGATCTACAGAGACACTCGCTGGAACACCCCAGCAAGTGAGAGTCCAAAAGTGGCAGGCTCAAATCCAGAACCTCAACCAATGGCTGATACCAAATGAGAGACTCCCCCCTGGGCACACAGAAGACTGGGCGACTTGGAAGGTGCTGAACAGACTGCACTCTGGCACCATGAGATGCAGAGCTAACCTCAAGAAATGGGGCCACAGAGTGGAATCCTCGAAATGCGAGTGTGGAGAAGAGCAAACCACTGACCACCTGCTGCAATGCAACCTGAGCCCTGCCACATGCACAATGGAGGACCTCCTTGCGGCAACACCAGAGGCACCCCAAATGGCCAGATACTGGTCAAAGGACATTTAATCAACTACCAAAGTCGCAAATTTTGTGTTTTGTCTGTTTGTTTGTTTGTTTGTTTTGTTCTGTTAGAATTGTAATACAGTTGATTGGTTGCCCTGACACGACAAATAAATAAATAACTGCCATGGCTAAATTTTATAGAACCAATCAGCTGGAATGAAATTATGGATCATAGAGTCAGCTTTGTCCCATCCCAGAGAGTACCTTTTCCAAGCCGTTGAGGACAGGGATAAGAAAGCGGACATCTGGGAGCCTTTTATTGTACAGATCTCGAACTCGCTTCACTAACTCCGGAGATGGAGGAACTGAGTGGGAAAAAAAAGTAGTGTTCGATTATGCAACAGAACAGAAACAAACCTGGACTATATCAGACAGTACGGTATTCCTTAGGTAGTTTAAAACCTAATCCTAAAGTAGTGATTACCATATACATGCAAATAATCTCTCTTTTATCTTGCCCGAGCTTTTCATTAGTTTTAATTAATTTTTCTTTTAATCATTACATGTAGCCCGCCCACTGTCATTGTGATTGTGCCTATTGTAATTGTAATTTTATATTGTTATGTATTCACATGTTTTATGTAAATATGATGTTGTTGTTTATTCTTCGCGTTTTCTGTTTGTGTTTTCGGTTTTACTCTATTGTAATTTGTTGTTTGGGCTTGGCCTCATGTAAGCCGCTCCGAGTCCCCATCGGGGATGTGGTGGCGGGGTATAAATAAAGTTTATTATTATTATTTATTAAGTATAAGCCAACCCAAATATAAGTCGAGACACCTAATTTTACCACAAAAACTGGGAAAACTTATTGACTCGAGTATAAACCAAGGGTGGGAAATGCAGCAGCGAATGGTAAATTTCAAAATAGAAATAGATATCATTAACATTACATTAATTGACACATCAGTAGTTTAAATGTTTTTTAAATATTTACATAAAACTGTAAGATAAGAGTGTCCAACTCTGATTAAACCATTATTCTAACCTTCTTCAATTTAAATATGCTTACGTATCCTTTCGATAATAATAATAAAGAGAGTAAAATAATAAATGTAATAAAAATAATGATAGAGTAAAATAATGGAAATGTAATAACAGTAATAACAGAGTAAAATAATTTATTTATTTAGTTAGTTCACGTATTTCTACCCCCGAGGGGGGACTCAGGGCAGCTTACAAAAGGCACAATTTGATGCCTACACAAACAATAAAAATAAAACATATATAAACAGCAATTAAAACAATTATAATTGTAAAACAATCAATTATACATCACAATCAATCAATAATAAATGTATTAATAAATTATTTTAGTGATGAGACGCTGAGGACTTGTGTTTTATGGCTTTTATTGCTTTTATATGGTTTATATACTGTATTATATGTATAATATAAACCATGTATATGTATATGTTTTTAACTGTATTTTATGTTGTTTGGGGGCATTGACTGCCGACAGTAAACCGCCTCGAGTCGCCTTCGGGCTGAGAGGGGCACTATATAAATATGGCAAATAAATAAATAAATAACAATGATAAAGGAAAATAATAAATGTAATAATAATAATAATAATAATAATAATAATAATAATGGGTTGGTGTAGGTTTTTTCGGGCTATATGGCCATGTTCTAGAGGCATTTTCTCCTGATGTTTCACATGCATCTATGGCAAACATTTGTATTTTGCTTCGTATTCTAATTGTTACTGCTTGTATTGATGCATTGTGGGCTCAGCCTCATGTAAGTCGCACCGAGTTCCTTGGGAGATGGTAGCGGGGTATAAATAAAGTTTTTTATTATTACTATTATTATTATTATTATTATTAATATTAATATTATTATCCTCAGAGGTTTATATATCTGTGGAATGACCAGGGTGGGGCAAAGAACTCTTGTCTGTTGGATGATGATGATGATGATGATGATAATAATAATAGCAGAATAAAATAATAACTTTAACTTGAGTATAAGCTGGGGGGGGGGGCTTTCTGAGCCTTAAAAGGGGGCTGAACATCTTGGCTTGAATATATGCGGTACTCAGATCAAATGGCTGTAAGCAACTCTGAATCCCAAGAGAGGATAGCAGGTCAAGAAATACTAATATGTGGATCAAGGAAAAACTAAAACCAAAGGTAGACCACCCCGAAGATCTGTCACACTCCAAAAGTGGCCCCAGGATTGGCTGTAATCTTTTACCACTGTCAAAGAATATAAAATAATGCCCCTCATACCTTTATCAGTGAGGCTGTGCAGGCAGCGGGTCACCAAGGTCTCTGCACCTTTGGGGCAGTTTTTAACCAGTTTGAGCAACTCCTGGGAATTCATGCCCATCCCACGGATCTGGAAGACAGGAAGATAACGAGAGGGGAAAATGGCATTTTAAGAATGAGAATTGTGTTGAAGGATCTAGAGATCCCTACAAAGGTAGCCTCGCTGAGAATTTAGTGTCCTCCGATACAACTCTACAATAGCTTCATGGAAAATGTGAAAAAAAATCACCTGGAAGACCTAACAAAGTCCTAGAGAAATCATTTCCTCTTGGACTCCAGTAAATGAAACTAACCACCAGAAAAGTTTTCAAATCTATCTAGAAGGTTCCAAAGCTGTCTGCTCAGGCGCAGAAACTACCATATGTGCGATTCACAGTTGACCACGATGGGAAAACTGTGGATACAGGGTATCTTAAAATGTACTTCCTGATCTCTTTGGTCAATGTTGGGGTCTCAATTTCTTTTTCTGAATACCATCTAGTGGCTGATTTAGATGTTTACACAAATCTGTTGTGTAGTGTTTATAGTGGACTCTGAGAAAGATATATGTATTTTATATAATTATTATGTGTTTTTAAGCTATGTTGTAACCCGCCATGAGAAAAGGCGGGTAAGAAATACAATTATTATTATTATTATTATTATTATTATTATTATTTGAAACACAACAAGGTGAGTCCACAGCAAACAAGATCACTCTGCAGGCTATTGTATTGAATCACACGTCCAAGTGTCTAGGACTGTGCGATGTATCGGAGAATAATGCATGCAGATCACCATCATCATCATCATCATCATCATCATCATCATTATAAAAGACTAGCCGACCCCTGCCACGCGTTGCTGTGGCCCACATGGGGGTTCTGTGTGGGAGGTTTGGCCCAATTCTATCACTGGTGGGGTTCAGAATGTTCTGTGATTGTAGGTGAACTATAAATCCCAGCAACTACAACTCCCAAATGTCAAGATTCTATTTTCCCCAAACTCCACCAGTGTTCACATTTGGGCATATTGAATCTCCGTGTAGAGTTTGGTCCAGATCCATCATTGTTTGAGTTCACAGTGCTCTCTGGATGTAGGTGAAATAAAACTCCAAAACCAAAGGACACTGCCCACCAAACCCTTCCAGTATTTTCTGTTGGCCATGGGAGAACTGTGTGCCAAGTTTGGCTCAATTCCATCATTGGTGAGGTTGAGAATGCTCTTTGATTGTAGATGAACTATAAATCCCAACAAGTATAACTCCCAAATGACAAAATCAATTTTTTGAGTGAGGGACAAACATTGGGTTGTTAGGTGTCTTGTGTCCAAATTTTGTGTCAATTCGTCCAGTGGTTTTTGAGTTCTGTTAATATCACAAACGAACATTACATTTTTATTTATATAGATTTATTGAAAGAGCTACATATCTATATAGAAAAGTTAGAGCACGGCTATATAATTATCTACCGCTCTGGAGACATCTTGCCTCTCTCCATGCTCACAGGAGAAGAACAAAAATGGAGGGCTCAGAGACTTTCCACGAATAAAGAGATGTGTGTCCCTGAGAAGTATCACTCTAACTAACAGAAGTAGGAGAGAATAGAGACACAGACCAGGAGGGCAATGGGGACAGAAAGGATCTCCTTATCAACTAACTCATCTGCCTATCTAGTTCCTTGATGAGGACTACAAACTTGTGCAGGATGTGGTTGACTTCCAACACCCCAGGCTACTTACTGGCTGCTCGATGACTCTGAGGACGGTACGCTTGATGTCAGCAATGGCCTCCGTATACACAGATGCCAGCTCATGGATCAATTTGTGGTTCTGGGGAAGGAGGGCCAGGTAAAGGTAGAGGCAGTGCTTGATGGTCTCTTCTGTCCAGGGAGCAGCCACCTCTGCAAGGCAACAAAGACGTTTGGAAGGGAAGAGGTCAGGCATCAGGCTGCTAAGAAGTTAAATATACATTGGAGAAGCTGGGAGACGAAACAGGGAGCTTAGAGGGACCCATCTGAACTCGGATGACAATTCCCATAATCTCCCAAACCAGCATTAGCTTTAGATCAAAGAAGTACAAAGCCGACCCCAATATAAGCCGAGTCATCTGATTTTACCACAAAAAACCTGGGAAAACAGGGGTTGGAAATGCAGCAGCTACTGGTAAATTTCAAAATAAAAATAGATACTGATAAATTTACATTAATTGAAGTATCAATAGGTTAAATGTTTTTGAATATTTAAAATAATAATAATAATAATAATAGAGTAAAATAATGGAAATGTAATAGTAACAGTAATAATAAAGTACAATAAAAATGTAATAATAACAATAGAGTAAAATAATAAATGTATAATAATAACATAGAGTAAAATAATAAATGTAATAAAATAGAGTAAAATAATAATGTAATAATAACAATGATAGAGAAAAATAATAAATGTTATAATAATAAATAGAGTAAAATAAATGTAATAACAGTAATAATAGAGTAAAATAATAAATGTATAATAATAACAGAGTAAAATAATACATGTAATAGAGTAAAATAATAATAATGTAATAATAACAGCAATAATAGAGTAAAATAATAAATGTAATAACAATAATAAAGTAAAATAATAAATGTAATAATAGAGTAATATAATAAATGTAATAAAAATAACAAAGTAATGTAAATGAATAATAATAAATAGAACAAAATAATAAATGTAATAATAATAATAAATAGAGTAAAATAATGTAAATGTATTAATAATACTTAATAATAAATAGAGTAAAATAATAAATGCAATAAAAATAATAACAGAATAAAATAATAAATAACCTTGACTCGATTATAAGCAGAAGGGGGCTTTTTCATCCTAAAACAGGGCTAAAAAACTTGGCTTATACTCAAGTATATATGGTAATTTTTCTAGTTTTCAACTTTCTTTAAGAAAAAAGTCTGTCGACACTAAATTCTGTCTAATATTGGAAGCCAAGCAGGGCCAGCCCTGGTTAGTACTTGGATGGGAGATGGCCACTGAATTTTGTATGCTATCTTAGAGGAAGGAATTGGCAAAACTATCTCTGGGAATCCCAAACTTAAAGAAACTCTATAGCATTCATAGAGCCACTGTAAGTCAACAAGGGACCTGAAGGCACACCTACTGACGCAAACATAAACAATAAGCACCCAGTGTAATGGGATAAATAAACTGTGATGCCTTTTAGAGGCGTTATACCTCAATGTAACCCTATCATTAAGCTTGTCCAACCTGCTACACCTCTTGATCCAAATCAGTCCCATTACCTGTATCTTTGTCAGCGCCAAAAAGGACAGAAGGAGGATTGGGATGGACCAGGAGTTGCAGGTAATTCAGGGCAAACTTCTCCACATATTCCCTCAGGTGGTCTTTGTCATACATCCGCTTGATGAACAGAAGGGCTTGCTGGCGAACCTGAGAGAGAAGAAGAGGTGAAACATCTGAAATGATCTGAAGCGCTTGGGATCTGAAAGGCTTGTGATTTGGGAATACCTGGGTTTGCATAGGAAATCCTTATGTTTCATATGCACCTTACACACATAATCTGGAAGTCATTTATTTATTTTTTATCTACCTGGGCATCACTGGGTACCTAAGCTAGTCTATAATAAAAGTGAACATATTTATGTATGTATGTATGTATGTATGTATGTATGTTTGTATGTAATTTCCAAGATCGCTCCCACATCCAGAGAGCCCTGCTGACGATGGATCTGGACCAAACTTGGCACAAAACCCCACCGTGACCAACTTTAAGTGCCTCCAAAGTTTGGAGGTGGGGGAAACAATGGGAGTTATAGTTCACCCACATACGAAGTTCACTGTGAACCCCACTGATGATAGATCTGGAACAAACCTGGCCCACATACCCTCCATGATCAACTTTTAAGTACTGGTGAGGTTTGGAGTGGTTGTCCCAGGATGGTGGGAGTTGTAGTTCACCTACATTCAGAGAGCATTGTGAACCCCACTGGTAATGGATCTGGACCAAACATGGCACACAGACCCACCATGGCCTACAAAATACTGGTTGGGTTTGGAGTGGGGGGAGGTGACAGAGGATGATGGGAGTTGTAGTTCACTCATATCCCGAGAGCTGTGTGAATCTCACTGACAATGGATCTGGACCATACTTAGTACACATACTTATCGTGACCATCTTACAATACTGTCAAGGGTTCAGGAGGGATTGAGAGAGGATGATGGGAACTGTAGTCCACTCCCATATAAAGAGCCATGTGTATCCTACATCCAGAGAGACATGCGTATTTCTGTTGCGACTATTCATAGACCCTAAACCACAACTATCTATACACATAATAAAAGTGAAAATGTGTATGTATGTATGTATGTGTATGTATGTGGCTGGGGTGTCCACTCACAGAGACAAGCTCCTGCCTCCACAAACAGCTACAGCTCTACTTAGGAGACACCGATGGCCCTCACTCGAATGACACTGAAGGTTACAGCAAGCGCCATGAACATGTACAAGAGCCCTGTCAATGTCCTCCACAAACACCACACTCCCCATCACCCAAGTGAGGGCTTTCATAACGGGGACAATTTCATCCTAGATTTGATGCTTTTCTTCCACTGCAGACATCCCAGTGTTTCTTACTCTCTCAATTGGTATAGAATTTGTATAACCCCGCCTACTGCCTCTTCCTTAACCCTTTCCTATTCTTTTTATGGCAAACAACAAACAGAGGAATTGATCAGCAACTCAACATACTAGAAAGATTTGAGGGGAATTCACCATGATTCATAGTTGTAGGTCCTGGGATGTATAGTTCACCTGCAATCTAAGAGCACTCTGAACTCAAACAATGATGGACCTGAAACTAACTTGGCACACAGAACCCCCATGACCAGCAAAAACTACTGGGGGTCTCTGGGGGAAATTCACCTTGATTTGGGGGAGTTGTAGTTTGCCTACATCCAGAGAGCACTGAAAACCCAAACGCTGATGGATCTGGACCAAACTTGGCACACATACCTGACATGATGAAATTAGATTACAGGATAAGTTATTTTGGGGGACGGGATGGGACGGGGACTGGTGTTCCTTTCTGAGAGTTGTAGTTCACCCACAACCAGAGAAACTGTGATCTCCACCGATGATGGACCTGGACCAAACTTGGCACACAGAACTCCCATGACTAACTCAACCTACTGGAGGGGTTAGAGGACTAATTCACCATAGTGGGAATTGTAGTTCACCCTACACCCAGAGAGCACACTGAACCCCACCAAAGATGCCTCTAGAGCAGATTTGCCCAACATAACCAACTTTAAAGACTGATGGAGTTTCTTGGGGTTAACCTGGCATGATGTGAGTTGTAGTTCACCCACTACCTTATGCATTTTGTATAATTAAAAATTGACTTTTTCAAATAATCCGGGCAACGCTGGGTACTCAAGCTAGTTTCTAATAAATAGTGTTTCAAAATACCTAACCTGGGCTAGCTTACTACCTAAGATAGTATAACAATATTTGTAATAATTTGGGGCAGGAAACAAAGCTGTTGTGTACCAAAGAACCAGAAAGCAAAGGTGTCACTATCTCATCCAACCCCATAACTGTTGCTTGTGCTGCTCCCGGCCACCAACACAGGCTAACCCAAGACTCACCTTGTCCTTCTCATGGGAGCTGAGGTCCAAGAGAACATGCAGGTACTCAAACTGCCTGGCTGGGCGTTTGAAGATCAGATCCCGAAGGGTGGACATGCCCAGGTAGGACCGGCTCTGCAGAAAGAGTCAGAAAAAGTGCCCTGAGATTAGCAAAGGCGTGCTTCAAACTACAACTCTTGCAGGAAAGTGGGGGAAAATAATACACAGGTTGAGCTCCAGATTGTGTTACATGACATGCAAGCAGTTGAGCTGGCAAAGAGGAACTTCCCTGCCCCTTCCTTCTCAAAACACATGATCATTATAGAATCATAGAATGAGTTGGAAGAGACCTCATGGGCCATCCAGTCCAACCCCCTGCCAAGAAGCAGGAAAATTGCATTCAAAGCAACCCCAACAGATGGCCATCCAGCCTCTGTTTAAAAGCTTCCAAAGAAGGAGCCTCCACCACACTCCAGGGCAGAGAGTTCCACTGCTGAACAGCTCTCACAGTCAGGAAGTTTTTCCTCATGTTCAGATGAAATCTCCTTTCTTGTAGTTTGGAACCATTGTTCCATTGCGTCCTAATCTCCAGGGAAGCAGAAAACAGGTTCTCTCCCTCCTCCCTGTGACTTCCTCTCACATATTTATATATGGCTATCATATCTCCTCTCAGCCTTCTCTTCTTCAGGCTAAACATGCCCAGCTCTTTAAGTCGCTCCTCATAGGGCTAGTTCTCCAGACCCTTGATCATTTTAGTCGCCCTCCTCTGGACACATTCCAGCTTGTCAATATCTCTCTTCAATTGTGGTGCCCAGAATTGGACACAGAATTCTAAGTGTGGTCTAACCAAGGCAGAATAGAGCATGACTTCCCTGGATCTAGACAGTATATTCTTATTGATGCAGGCCAAAATCCCATTGGCTTTTTTTGCCACCACATTATATTGTTGGCTCAAGTTTAACTTGTTGTCCACAAGGACCCCAAGATCTTTTTCACACGTCCTGCTCTCAAGTCAGGTGTCACCCATTCTGTATCTTTGCATTTTGTTTTTTCTGCCTAAGTGGCGTATCTTGCATTTGTCCCTGTTGAACTTCATTTTGTTAGTTTTGGCCCATCATCTCTCTAATCTGTTCAGATTGTTTTGAATTCTGCTCCTGTCCTCTGGAGTATTGGCTCTCCCTCCCAATTTAGTGTCATCTGCAAACTTGATCATGCTTTCTAACCCTTCATCTAAGTCATTAATAAAGTTGTTGAACATCCTCTCTCGCTAAAGAAGACTGGACTATATGAGACCACCATGGCACACACCTCATCCTCACAGTATTTCCGGATCACCTCCAAGGCACTCTCTGTGATCAGTGGGGCCTCAAGAACCATCTTGGTGAAGATCCTGCATGGAGACAAGGCAGAAACAAGCTCTCAGAAAGGATTTGTGGAGAAAGATGTCCAAAGGATATGAAAAATAACAGTACAGTACTACAAGCAATATAGTGGGCCCTTGATAGGCCTCTGCAAGAGCAACTACCTACCCGTCCTTTTGGTCCGGCTTCTCTTGAAGCCCAGAGAGCAGCCCGATGAGACACTCATCGTAGTTGTTGAGAGAACCAGTGGGATACTGGCTCAAATAGGCATTATACTCTTGGTACAGCCAAGCAAAGGCCAGGTCCAGCCGGTTGCGGACGTCGTCCAGGATGAAGTTCAGGACCTCGTTCTTGAGCGGGACCTCGAACTGGGTCACCAGGGAGGAGAGGATTTTCACCCGGGCCTGTTGGGAGGAAGGAAGGGTCAAAGTGAGGGAAACATCCCAAACTCAGCCAGTTCATGGTCTGGAAACCATGAACTTCTCTGAGACGTGGTTTAAAAAGCTGGGTCTGTTTAGCCTGCAGAAGTGAAGGGTGAGAGGAGACATTATTATTATTATTATTATTATTAATAATAATAATAATTTATTTATAAACCACTCCATCTCCCCGAGGGGACTCAGAGCGGTTCCCAGGTAACATCACAAAGCATACAGAGTAAAAACAACATAACCATAAGATTAACAAACAAAATATAAGCATAAAAATTGTCGCCATAACACACATATATTAAAAATAATCCTGCCTGTTCAAGGCAATTTAAACATTAAAAAGGCCGAGCCAAGATTTGTGCAAGCCCAAAAATTCTAGGGGGCCTGGGAATTAAGTGCAATACTATGGCAGGCAACAATAATATTAGGTACGGGTCTGTGGATGTTTATTCCGGGGCTGATTAGAGGAAAAAATCTGGGTAACTGGTAGGAAGAATAAGGCCCTATTCAACAATGTGTAGGGCTGAGTTAGAACTGGTCATTTTCAAAGGCTTGTTGAAACCACTAGGTCGTCAAGCTCTTATGAAAGGAGGGGAGGGATGGGGCCTGTCTTATTTCCCTTGGAAGGGCGTTCCAGAGACGGGGGGCCACCACTGAGAAGGCGCTCTCTCTCGTCCCCACCAACCACGCTTGAGATAAATAAATAAGACAAGCTGGCAGATCATTGACAATGGTAATGATGATAATGTTACGGAAAATAGACTGACAGGCTTCCGATTGTGTTGTGCTCGCTGGATTTGTTTCTTAACCTTGTTTCTACATAAGGTTAGACAGCTAGAATAATAATAATAATAATAATAATAATAATAATAATAATAATATACTTTATTTATATTCCGCTCTATCTCCCCGAGGGGACTCAGGGTGGATTACAGAACACATATACGGCAAACATTCAATGCTGTTAAACAATTAACAAGTCTTTCTCTTCCCCCCAAATAATATCCATTCTTACATTTGCCCCCCACAACCCACCCCAAAAAGACCTTTGGCCTTTTTTCTTCCTCAAGCTTTGTCGTTTCCCGTATGTATCCTGGACAAAGAAGACCCCCAAAGCCCATCCAGAAATGCCTCCCAATTCTTTCTCATTCTTCCTTCTAAAGCTTTATCAGTTCCCTGGACAAGGAAGACGCCCGAAACCCACCGCAAAGGGTCTGTCTGTCTCTTGCCCCAAACATTATTAGTTCTCACATTCCTCCCCCAAAATCCACCCCAAAATGAGCCCCAGATGCTCTCTTCTTCTTCGTCCTGAAGTTTTATCAGTTCCCATGTGCATCCTGGGCAAGGAAGCCCCTCGAAAAGGCGGGGTACAAATGTTTAAAATAAATAAATAAATAAATAAAATAAAGAGTGACAGGTTCAAATTACAGGAAAGTGGATTCCACCTGAATATTAGGAAGCACATATTGATGATAAAAGCTATTAAACAGTGGAACTCTCTGCCTCCCCAGAGTCCCATTTTGAGGCTTTTAAACAGAAGCTGGATGTCCATCTGTCAGGGGTGCTTTGATTGTTTTTTTTCCTGTCTGGCAAAAGGGGGTTGGACTAGATGGCCCTTGGGGTCTCTTCCAGCTCTACGATTCCACATTCAAACTCGTTTGGACTTGCCTGAGCAGCCCCGCTGCATGCCACGGCCTTCTCCGAGCGCAAGATCCGCTTCACGGCCGCCACCTTCAGCTTGTCCCTCTGTGCGTCTGTCAGAGGCTTGATGGCATCGCTCAGGCGGAAGATCTTCTTCCGTCCGCTGGCGCCGGCCAACCTGAAAAGAAGAAAACTTGGTATCTCCTTCTGAATTTTGGGCTTTGCTTCAGTAGCAGCGACACAAAATGGATACCAAATTCTACCTCGGCTTGGTGTCTTATGTTTACAGGAGAAAATCTGACCAACTGTGACATGGAATTGAAAATATTATAAGGACTCAGCACAATAAATATGGAGATTTTCCTGGCTACTGCAGAAGGAGGTCGAAAGCATTTCTGCTTTTTTGACCTACTTGCAGGTCAACTGAAAACAGTGATGCCACAGGTATGAAGAGGAACATGAACTTCTTGGAAAGGTTCCTTTGGGGAGGGACCGTCTCTCTAACTGTAACTTTGGTGGTAATAATAATAATCATCATCATCATCATCAAAGCCAGAATTGAAAAGTTGACAACAGATCCCAAATGTAGATTCTGCAAGGAAGCAGATGAAACAACAGATCACATGCTCAGCTGCTGCAAGAAGATCGCGCAGACAGACTACAAGCAGAGGCACAACACCGTTGCTCAGATGATCCATTGGAACTTGTGCCACAACCACCATATGCCTGCGATAACGAACTGGTGGGATCACAACACAGAAAAAGTTACAGAGAATGAACACATCAAACTCCTCTGGGACTTCCAAATTCAGACAGAGTTCTAGAGCACAACACTCCTGACCTCACAATCATGTTAAAAAACAAAGTATGGATCGTTGATGTCGCAATCCCAGGTGACAGCAGGATTGCAGAGAAACAACTGGAAAAGCTAACACGATATGCGGATTTAAAGATCGAACTGCAAAGACTCTGGCACAAGCCAGTCATGGGGGGTCACAGTGGTGATCGGCACATTGGGTGCAGTGCCTAAAGACCTTGGCCTGCACTTAAACACAATCAACGCCTACAAAGTTATTATCTGCCAGCTGCAGAAGGCCACCTTACTGGGATCTGCACGCATTATACATCGATACATTACACAGTCCTAGACACTTGGGAAGTGTCCGATGTGTGATCCAATTCAACAGCCAGCAGAGTGTCTGCTGTGGACTCATCTTGTTGTGTTTCAAATAATAATAATAATAATAATAATAATAATAATAATAATAATAATAATAATTTTTGATAGTTCAAGACGGGATACAACACAATCAAAACACACCACCATATAATACATACACCAAAACACATGGTACCAAGATCAAAATATAGCAGCAATAGAATGCAAATCCAAAACTCATAGTTCAAAGTTGACTGGGTCGGCCTGCTGGAAAAGACAGGTTTTCCGTTGTCTCCTAAATTCTAACAGCTGGTTTAGCTCTAGAATCTTTTCCAACAAATCTCTATTTGATCTTCAAGTACTTTTACAGCACTGCAAGCCTACATCAATAGCTTGCAAATTATTATTATTACTACTATTATTATTCTGACACAAAAAGACAGTATGGCACAGCAAATGAGATATATATGCTGGATTTCGTATCACAAAATCACAAGTTGAATACTTCCCAAGCATTTAGGACTGTGTGATATATTATTATTATTATTATTATTATTATTGACACAAAAGCACAGTATGTCACAGCAAACGAGATCTATATGCTGGATTTTGTATCACAAAATCACAAGTCGAACACTTCCCAAGTGTCTAGGACTGTGTGATGTATTTTCGAATGATGCGCACAGATCCAAGTCAGGTGGCCTTTTGCAGTTGACAGATTGTTATTTTTACTATTATTATTATTTGAAACACAACAAGATTAGTGCATACTAAATAAATACACATTAACAAGAAATAATAATAATAATAATAATAATTATTATTATTATTATTATTATTATTATTATTTATTTCTCATCTCTTTCAGCTTTTATTACTATCTGAGAACTATTTCCGCCCCTCACATGCACAAAACCAGTCATACATAAACCGCCACGAACGAGGCTTGGGTGATTCTGACCTGGGCTGAGTGGAGGGGATGATGGGCTCTGGGCGGCGTTTGGTCTGGGAGGCCTCTGAGTCGGCGGCGGCGCTGGTGGTGGTCCGCGCTCCCACCACAGAGATGGCCTGCCCAGGTTGAATGGTTGAGATGCGCCGCTTGATCAACACACTTTCGGGTTTGAGGGGTTTCTCTTCTTTAAGCGCCTCCTTGGCCTGTTTGATCTGTTCCACGCCTATCGGGAGGGGAATTACAGAGAATCATCAGTTATAGAGTAGGTTGAGACTTCCAGGACCATCCAGTCCAAGGGAAAAGAGTGTTCCTGGATGAGGACTAATAAATTGAAGGTAAATCCAGACAAAACAGAGGTACTCCTGGTCAGTCAGAAGGCGGATCAGGGTGTGGGATTACAGCCCGTGCTGGATGGGGTCACACTCCCCCTGAAGATACAGGTCCTCAGTCTGGGGGTGATCCTGGACTCGTTGATGACTCTGGAACTCCAGGTGTCAGTGATGGCCAGAAATGCCATTGCACAACTAAAACTTGTATGCCAGCTGGGCCGTGCCTTGAAACACCAAATCTGTTTACTTTCCTTCTGGACCACTGTGACGCACTCCATGTGGTGCTGCCTTTGAAGATAGTTTGGAAGCTTCCACTAGTTCAGATATTTTTAAAAAACTTTTTTTGAGTCAGAAGCGACTTGAGAAACTTTAAGTAGCTTCTGGTGTGAGAGAATTGGCCATCTGCAAGGACGTTGTCCAAGGGATGCCTTGGTGTTTGATGTTTTACCAATCTTGTGGGAGGCTTCTCTCTCTCTCCCTCTCTTAAAATATCTTTATTAAAGAATTTTCCAATTAACATAAAAAGATAAGGGGGAAGGATAGAGAGAGAAAGGGGAGGTATGTGTAGGCTAAGTCTAGGGTAGAGGGATTAGGGTAGGGAAGGGTGATGATATTGATTGGGTGAATTAAAATGGGTGGGATAAAGGATAAGGGGTAGCTATGGAATTAGGGAAGGATAGGCTAAGGGGGGGAGGCTTAAGCGGCTGCGGGGGAAAAAGGAAGGGGCCTGAGGCTGTTGGGAATTGTGAGAGTTGAATTCCAAAACACCCAGAGATCAAAGTTGGCCCATATCTGATTTAGGGTGATTGCATCTGTGGGACAGCTCCCACTATAAATGCCATTTTCAGTCTTACCAGGTCCCAGCCCTGCTGCTGTCATCTGGCTAGCCATGAGCCGGGCGAGATGTTTGATCTGGACATCTGTGCCAGCTGATTCCACAGGGGTATAGGTCGCTTGGAAAGAGGCAGGCATGTTCTCAGGAAGGTAGACCATGCTGATGAGAACCTGGAGGCCGAAGGACATGGATGAAAAGTTAGGAGAGCTCAGAAGGTCACAGATATATTTTTTAAAACTCTGAATTGGCAGATTTTACAACCAAAGTATGCCAAAGAGAGGGCAAAACCAGCTACTAAGTCAGGCATGGGCAAACATTGGTCCTCCAGGTGTTTGGGACTTATTTATTTATTATTTGATGTACAGCATTTATATTCCACCCTTCTCACCCACAGGGGACTCAGGGCAGATCACAATGCACATATACATGGCAAACATTCAATGCCATAGACACACAAATATATAGACAGAGACACAGAGGCTATTTAACTTTCCAGCTTTATGGGGGTATGCTTTTTGAATTCCGGCCATCGGGGGAGCTGTCGCTTCACCATCCACTTGTGACATTTAGCATAACGCCAAATTTTTAAAGTTTGTTTGTGTTTTTAAATATATTATAACTGTACCCTCAACTCGCTTCTGACACAATAAAAAAAAACCCACTTCAAAAATTAAGGTCGTGCCATAGGCCAAGATGCTTTAAGAACTAGTAAACACAAGGATGAAATTTCATCAGATGATTTCAGATGTGTACAATATCAGCTAAAGATCTTTGATTTATGTACATATCTGCATGGTTATACATACTGCGAGCATTCACACAACGCCCATTCTAGCAAATAGTTGGGAAAAGCTGTTGGTAATAGACCAAAGCACCTTTTAAAGCACTGTTTCTCAACCTGGGAGTCATGACCTCTGGGGGAGTCACGAGGGGGTGTCAAAGGGATCACCAAAGACCATCAGAAAACACAGTATTTTCTGTTGGTCATGGGGGGTTCTGTGTGGGAAGTTTGGCTGAATTGTATCATTGGTGGGCTTCAGAATGCTCTTTGATTGCAGGAGAACTATAAATCCCAGCAACTACAACTCCAAAATGTCAAGGTATATTTTCCCCAAACTCCACCAGTGTTCACATTTGGGCATATGGAGTATTCATGCCAACTTTGGTCCAGATACATCATTGTTTGAGTTCACAGTGCTCTCTGGATGTAGGTGAACTCAAGGTCAATGCCCACCAATCCCTTCCAGTATTTTCTTTTGGTCATGAGAGTTACGTGTGCCAAGTCTGGTTCAATTGCATCATTGGTGGAGTTCAGAATGCTCTTTGAATTTAAATGAACTACAACTCCCAAATGACAAAATCACTTCAACTCTTACAATTCCTAACAGGATACTGGTTTGTCCATGCCTGCTCTAGAGTCAGAGTCCATAATCAAACCACGACACCATGCTGGCTCTCACTTATCTTGTTCTGTGAATATACCTTTGCACAAACAGTGATGCTCTCCCCACTTCACCACCACAAAAAGTACCAAGTTCTGGACCTCCTCGCCCCCAAAGATGCTCCTCCCCAAGAGCAAGAAGTGAATGAAGCAAGGATGCACATAACCAGAGGAAATGAGGAATACACACCAGGTTGGCCACATTATCTGAAGTCAGAAGTGGCTGCAGGAACTCCGCTGTGATGTCGATGTCCGACTGCGTACTGACTTGGATGGAGGGCTTAGGGGCTGGGACCACCACTGTCTCCAAGTCTTTATCCTCATCATCCTCCCCAAGGGCTGGTTCTGCAGAAGCAAAGGAGAAGAGCAGTGGGCAGAGATGAAAGAGAGCATGGGGTTGGTATTAGATAGGTAACCACATTTGAATATTTTTGTTCCTGGTTTGAAACGTGCTTCCAAATGAAATACAATTGACCCCATCCCTCCTGACGTTCAGGAAAAAAATAAAATCTTGGTTTTGGGACCAAGCTTTCGGACAATAAACATAAAGCAGCACTTTGCCTGGAAATGGACTGGCAAGATGATATGTATGAGGATACGGTTTTATTGTTCTATCAGTGGGATTTTGGACTGAGTATTGTTTTTAATGACTGTTATGATAATTTGGTTATAATTAATTGCTACTGTTTTAACTCTGTATGTATTTATGGTTTTATACTGTGTTATTGATTGTGACATCGAATTGCTGCCTCTGAGTCCCCCACCCGGGGGTTGAGATGGACGGGGTAAAAATGCTGTAAATAAATAAAATAAAGTGTTGTTTCCTGTTTAATTGTGCAGTCCTTACTTTGAATGTAGTTTTTCTACTCCAGAAACTTCATTCTTGTGACTGCCACAAAATATGTTGAATTGGTTGAACCTCTACAAGATAGATAAAGGTTTTCCCCTGACATTAATCCTGCTATACAGGATTAAAATGGCAAAATAAAGAATTAATAATAATTTTGTTACTGTTCTCAGATTAGGTAAGGTAAAGGTTTTCCCCTGACATTAAGTCCAGCAGTGTCCGACTCTGGAGTTTGGTGCTCATCTCCATTTCTAAGCCGAAGAGCCAGCGTTGTCTGTAGACACCTCCAAGGTCATGTGGCCGGCATGACTGCATGGAGAGCTGTTACCTTCCTGCCAGAGCAGTACCTATTGATCTACTCACATTTGCATCAAACTGCTAAGTTGGCAGAAGCTGGGGCTAACAATGGGAGCTCACGCCACTCTCTGGATTCGAACCAGTGACCTTTCGGTCAGCAGGTTCAGCAGCTCAGCGCTCTAACCCACTGCGCCACTGTTACGAGATATTAATTGAAAAACTATAGCAAAACATGCTGCAGGATGTTTCACAAAAAGTAAGTTTTTGCAGTTTAATAAACTTTTTCCATGTTTTCTGGCAGAACCAATTAGGAAATGGCACTTATAGCTCAGAAACAACAATTGTGTCAATAATTATAGTTTTTATTGCTGTTGCTTTATTTATTTCTTTACAGCATTTATATTCCGCCCTTCTCACCCCGCAAGGGACTCAGGGCGGATTACAATGTACACATATATGGCAAACATTCAATGCCATAAACACAAAACATATATAGACATACACACAGAGGCTATTTAACTTTTTCTGGCCGCCAGGGGAGCTGTCGCTTTCATTGTCCATCTGCAACACTGATGAAGTACTTCCGCATTCCCCGCATGCTTTTTGCTGGAATCTTTTTTATGGCCTCGTAAATTTTGTTAAATTAGCCTTCCCACACATAGGTGGTACCTAATTTTCCTACTTGACAGATGCAACTGTCTTTTGGGTTGCAAAGGCTGACAACAAGCTACACAATTGGTCGGAAGCTCACTCCGACCCAGGTTAGAGTAAAATAATGTAAATGTAATAATAATAGAAAGAAAGAAAAAGAAAGAAAGAAAGAAAGAAAGGGAGAAAAAAGAAGAGAAGAGGAAGGAAAGAGAGAAGGAAGAAAGGAGAGAAAGAGGGAGGAAAAGAAAAAGGGGGAAGGAAGGAAAGTTAGAGAAGGAAAGAAGGAGAGAAGGAAAGAAAAAAGGGAAAGAAGGAAGGAAAGAGGGGGCGAAGGAAGGGGGGAATGTAGAGAAAGAGGGAGGGAAGGAAAGAGAGAAGGAAGAAAAGAGTGACAGCAGAAGAGAAAGAAAAGGGGGGAAGGAAGGCAAGAGACAGAGAACAGTGTGGAACACATCTCACCACGCTGAAACAGTGGATGTGGCTCTTAATGAGACATGCCGCATTATCACGGGGTGTCTGCACCCTACACCACTGGAGAAATTACACTGCTTAGCCAGTATCACACCACCTGACATCCGCCGGGAAGGAGCAGCCAATAGTGAAAGGACCAAGGCAGAGACATCTCCAGCTCATCCCCTGTTTGGGTATCAGCCAGCACGTCAACGACTTAAATCTAGAAATAGTTTTCTAAGATCTACAGAGACACTCGCTGGAACACCTCAGCAAGCGAGAGTCCAAAAGTGGCAGGCTCAAACCCAGCACTTCAACCAGTGGCTGATACCAGATGAGAGACTCCCCCCTGGACACACAGAGGACTGGGCGACTTGGAAGGCGCTGAACAGACTGCTCTCTGGCACCACGAGATGCAGAGCCAACCTTCAGAAATGGGGCTACAAAGTGGAATCCTCGACATGCGAGTGTGGAGAGGAGCAAACCACTGACCAACTGCTGCAATGCAACCTGAGCCCTGCCACATGCACAATGGAGGACCTTCTTGCAGCAACACCAGAAGCACTCCAAGTGGCCAGATACTGGTCAAAGGACATTTAATCAACTACCAAACTCACAAATTTTGTATTGTGTATTTTGTCTGTTTGTTTGCTTTGTTCTGTTAGAAATGTAATATAAATGACTGGTTGCTGATGACTCGATAAATAAAAGCTAGTAATAATAATAATAATAATAATAATAATAATAATAATAATAACTTTATTTATATACTTTATTTATTTAATATATATACATATATTAAAATGTCGCCATAACACACATATATCAAAACATTATCTGTGTGTTTAGATGACACATATATTCCTACTCACCGATCTTAATTTTCTTCGTGGTGGGATCGCTCTCGTCCCGTGGGCGCTTGCGCAGCTCCTTCAGGTTGGGCATGTTGCGGGTGATTTCGGCCTGCTGGGTGCCCAGGTCCATCAGGAGGGTGGTGATCTGGGCCTGGAACTCCACTGATGCCGGATGCTTCAGGACACTCAACAAATGGAGCTTGAGGTTCTTCCGCACGCTGCTCACTTGAGATTTGGCCAGCGTCGGGGGCAGATTGGCTGTCAGGAGAGCCGGGCAAGAAACCAGTCAAGGAGGCAACGGTTTCAGAGGCCATCTCAGCATCCTTTTCCTCATACTGAGATCAGAAGAGGAGCAAGGAACCTCTAGCCTCCCAATGACATCTCTGACTAGATCTACAGTCATATAATGCGCAACTGCAATGAATTGCATTATATGGCAATGTAGACCAGGTATCTGCAAACTTCGGCCCTCGAGGTGTTTTGGACTCCAACTCCCACAATTCCTAACAGCCTACCGGCTGTTAGGAATTGTGGGAGTTGAAGTCCAAAACACCTCGAGGGCCGAAGTTTGTCCATGCCTGATTTAGTCAATGCCACAAACTCAACACGCTTACCATGCAACGTCTCATAGGCCTGGATCACCTCCGACATGAACATAGGCCGCTGGCGGGCGATGGAGGCCAGAGATCCCAGTGCTGCGGTCAGGTTGATGCTGGAGATGGCCGGGTGCCCCATGAACTTCAGCAACTGCTCCAAGGCCGCCTTGCCTTCCTCCCACAAGATATCTTGAGAGGGGAGAGTGTGATAGAAATCCATGTCACCTCCAATATAGTAATACTTTGCCATACCAGTAGATGGTACAGAACATATGCCATCTACTAGTTGCCACCTGCTTGCCCATAGAAAATCATAACTAAAGAAACTAGAGCTGATGTGGTCTATCCAGTACATTGTTTCTGATTTAGTTCCCCAAAGAACCCCAGAGACAGGCCTCAACACTGAGATTTCTTGTTGATGTTGGGCTGTGTTATTGTTCATACTGGCTGGGACTAATAGAAGTACTAAATCTGCAGAAGCATGGTTTCCCCACCCTACGTCACAGCCAATGTTGTCATGTGCCTTCAAGTTGTTACTGATTTATGGTGACCCCAAGGCAATCCCATCATGACGTTTTTTGGGTAGAACTTCTTCAGAAGAGGTTAGCCATTGCCCTCCTCTGAAGCTGAGAGAATGGGGTTTGCCTAAAGTCACCTAGGCCCCTTCTACACTGTTCTATTTCCCAGGATCTGATCCCAGGTTATCTGCTTTGAAGTGGATTATATGAGTCTCCAGTGCCATGTAATCTGGGAAAAGCAGATAATCTGGGATAAGATCCTGGGGTATAGGGCCAGTGTAGAAAGGGTTCCAATGAAACTGGAAGAGAAAGGAATGCCCAGATATAGATCTAGACCAAATCTTAAAATGGGAAATAGGGAAGGAACGGTGGAATTTATATAAAAACACTACAATTTGAAACGGATACTGATTAAGGAATTAAACAGTAATGAGAAAGACATTGAACAATGGATAAATTCAATTTTTAAAAAATTAAGCACCTAAGGATTAAGAGAACACAACAGAAAATACTGACAGAATAATAATAATAATAATAATAATAATAATAATAATAATAATAATCCAGCATATAGATCTCGACTGCTGTGACATACTGCACTTTTGTGTCAGTAAAATAATAGTAATAAAACTTTATTTATATTCCAGTCTATCTCCCTGGAGGGATTCAGGACAGATTCCAAACATAAAAGGCAAACATTCAATGCCCGAACACAACAACAATACACCCATATTATTATATTTAGTTTTTATACTGGTTTATTGTTTTTTATCATGTTTGTATTCATTTATTGTATTTGATTTGTTATTTTTAATTTTTATTATTTTATTTATTATATATTATGACAGTTATGTTTGTTTAATGTACTTATTTTATTTAACCTATTTTTCTGATTGTTTTATATAGATATATTTTTCATATTTATTGATTTATTTTTCATGTTTATCATTTTATTTAATTTTTCTCTATTTATTTAATTGTACCTATTATATTTTGTTTTTATCATGTTTTAGTATATTTGTTTTGATTTAAAAATATAATAAATATAATATTAAATATATTATATTATTTATTAAATATTATTTAATTTATTTTATTTTTGTATTATACTTATTTCATTTACTATATTTTATATAATATTAAATATATTATATTATTTATTAAATATTAATTCATTTATTTTATTTTTGTATACTTATTTATTTCATTTAATATATTTTATATTTATTTGATTATTTTTTAAATTATAATAAATAAAATATTTATTTGTTATTTATATTATTCATTTTATTTATTATTTATTTATATTATTTTGTTATTTATTATATTTATTTGTATATATTTATTTTTATTATATTTGTTATTAAATATTGAACTTGGATGCAGGTACATTGTTTTTAATGTTTCAAATGCATATTTTATAATTTAATGTTTTAATTAATGTTTAACTTGTGTTATATTGTTATGTTGTATGTGTTGGCATTAAATTGTTGCCGGTTGTAAGTCGCCCTGAGTCCTCCCTCGGGAATTGAGAAGGACGGGGTACAAATGTTTGAAATAAATAAATAAATATTGACGAATTAACTCACTTTACAAAAAGCACATCAAAATTATGCTGGCATAAAGGTGATGAAACAGGAGCCTTCTTACATGTGTGGTGGGATTTGACAAGATACAACATTTTATAGAAAAGTAAAGTGTGAAATAGAGGAAATATCTGGGTAAAAAAAAAGAGCTGAATTTAAAAACCCTTTTTTTTACTCAGCAAATGGAAGGTAAAGGTGGGAATAAAGAATGGGCAGATATTGTAAAATATATGATAGGACAAAATATATATGAGAGCACAAAAAATGGCAAATAAAAAATGGTAGCATTATCTAGCAGATTATATGCTTCAAGATTATAATATTGAAAGGAAAAATAAATATATCTCTCCTGCTCTACAGTGCAATTCTTATAATGGTTAATTCAGGCCTATCTTGGGTTTAGTGGAGTGGGGGAACTGGTATCACTTGAAACTGGGCTTCCACCTCCCTCTCTTTTTCCATCTCCTTACTATATTTGATGTAGGGATGGTCATTGGGCACCCGGTCCAGGCTGATGTCGGTCTTGTGACGCTTGGGCACCTCCGAGTCCGGCATGCGGGGCGACAGGGTGATGATCAGCCCCTCCACAAACTTGATGGCGTGGGTGCGGATCCCGTCGTTGTCGGAGTCCAGCAACTGGATGATTTCACTGGCCATGGCTGACACCATTTCCCAGCAAGCCTCCTGCATTTCATTGATCACTCGGGATTTCACCATCCACTACGGGAATAGACAAAGGGGTCATACAGATAGAAGGCAGGCAATTTAATACTCCAATATGGGAAGCTTTGCTGCCAAAGAGGAACATCCCCTCCTTACTCAATCGGTAGTTTCACCCAAAGCCATAGTCAGAGCTTCAATAGCAGTATGTAACAAAATTTGGGGGGGAAAATCTGTTCCTGGTTTGGAAGTGTTATTTCCTATTTACTTGTGCAGCCATTACTTTGAAGGTAGTTGTTCTACTTCAAAAAACTTAAATTCTGTGCCTGAAAATATTACTATTATTTATTTATTTATTTATTTATGACATTTATAGGCCGCCCTTCTCACCCCAAAGGGGACTCAGAGTGGCTTACAAGATATATATATATATATATATACACATACATATACACACACACACACACACACATACAATATATTATATTATTAGCATAGAACAATATCAGTATTATATATTACTATATTGTGCTATACCATTATATTGTAATATTCTTTAGTAATACTAGCCGTCCCCTGCCACACGTTGCTGCGGCCCAGTCTGTGTATATGTGTTTTTTTTGTGTATGTGAATGTATTTTTTTGGCTTTTTAAGTCTCTTCTGCAGTGTTTTCCAGTGTTTTATGAGTGATGGTCACTCGTCTGCCCAATACATGTATTGTGTCCAAATTTGGTGTCAATTCATCCAGTGGTTTTTGAGTTATGTTAATCCCACAAACTAACATTGCATATTTATTTATATAGATTACATGTACTATAAGATATATAATTATAATATCATATTAGTAGTAGTAGTAGTAGTATTTCCTTGCGCTTTGCTACTTTGCTGCTGAATACACATGCCTAGTGTGGAACACATCTCACCACATTAAAACAGTGGATGTGGCTCTTAATGAGACATACCACATTATCACAGGATGTCTACACCCCACACCACTGGAGAAATTATACTGTTTAGCTGATCTTGCACCACCTAACATCTGCCGGGAAGTAGCAACCAATAATGAAAGGACCAATACAGTGACATCTCCAGCCCATCCCCTATTCGGATATCAGCCAGCATGCCAATGCCTTAAATCAAGAAATAGTTTTCTAAGATCTACAGAGACCCTCGAAGGAACATCTCAGCAAGCAAGAGTCCAAAAGTGGCAGGCTAAAATCCGGAACCGCAATCCATGGCTGATACCAAATGAGAGACTCCCTCCTGGGCACACAGAAGACTGGGCAACTTGGAAGGCGCTGAACAGACTGCGCTCTGGCACCACACGGTGCACAAGGTACCACAACCTTAAGAAAGGGGGCTACAAAGTGGAGTCTATGACATGCGAGTGTGGAGGAGAGCAAACCACAGACCACCTATTACAATGCAGCCTGAGCCTTGCCGCATGCACAAGGGAAGACCTCTTTATAGCAACATTTAGAACAATGCCAAGTTTTTAACTTTGTTTATGTTTTGAAATACTTTACAACTGTACCCTCAATTTGCTTCTGACACGATAAAGAAATAACATTTCCTTCAGTCTAGGCACTTGGTTTGTAATTTTACTTTATAAAAATATGCCATTTTTAACCTTCGTGCAGATTGCAGACACAGTTTTAGCAGTTTAATAAACTTTTCCCATGAATTAATAGAAACACTGAGTTGTTGTAGGTTTTTTCGGGCTATATGGCCATGTTCTAGAGGCAGTCTCTCCTGACTTTTCGCCTGTATCTATGGCAAGCATCCTCAGAGGTAGTGAGGTCTGTTGGAACTAGGAAAATTGGGTTTATATATTTGTGGAATGACCAGGGTGGGACAAAAAACTCTTGTATGTTGGCACTAGATGTGAATGTTTCAACTGACCACCTTCATTAGCATTTGATGACATGGCAGTGCCTGGGGCAATCTTTTGTTGAGAGGTGATTAGATGTCCCTGATTGTTTCCTCTCTGTTGTTTTGCTGTTCTAATTTTAGAGTTTTTTTAATACTGGTAGCCAGATTTTGTTCATTTTCATGGTCTCCTCCTTTCTGTTGAAATTGTCCACATGCTTGTGGATTTCAATGGCTTCTCTGTGTAGTCTGACATGGTGGTTGTGAGAGTGGTCCAGCATTTATGTGTTCTCAAATAATATTCTGTGTCCATGTTGGTTTATCAGGTGCTCTGCTACGGCTGATGTCTCTGGTTGAAGTAGTCTGCAGTGCCTTTCAGAGTTCTTTGCCCCACCCTGGTCATTCCACAGATATATAAACCCAATTTTCCTAGTTCCAACAGACCTCACAACCTCTGAGGATACTTACCATAGATGCAGGCAAAACGTCAGGAGAGAATGCCTCTAAAACATGGCTATATAGCCTGAAAAAACCTACAACAACCCAGTGATTCTGGCCATGAAAGCCTTCGACAATAACAGAAACAATTAGGAAATGACATTTATAACCCAGGAACAAAAATTGTGTTACATAGTGTAATTACTTTTGGGATCAACAACTCCCAGAATCTCTGTGCCAACTGGGCCAATAGGATTCTGCGAATTGCACTCATCCTATTGTTCCCTAATATTCCCATTAACATAAAGTCCAGATTTACTTGAATTGGTATTTCAAACATTTTCTCCATTTTCTTGAGTATTTTTTCCCAGAAAATAATTGTCTTTGGACATTCCCACCACATGTGCCCTGTATGACTTTGCGACTGCATCGGTCGCAGGGATTGCGCTGTTGCTCTTCCCCACTCTTTGATGAAAGAAGGAGGGCCTCACCTGCAGCGCCACCTTGTACAGCTGAGTCATGGCCAGGATCGCCTTCTTCACCACATTGACATTTTCATCCCTCAGCAACATGTTCAAGTTGGCAATGAGCTTGAGCAACAACTCTGTGTCCCGTTTGCTGGAGGCAAAGTCAGAAAAGAGAGGGGTGGAGTAATGAAAACAATGGCATGAGACAAGGAAAATGGCACAAGGCATCCACAGCACAGAAGCAGCCAGGCCAAAGAAGCCATAGCCCTGCTTTGAACTGTTTTGTTGTTTATTTACTTGTAAAGTGATGTGTACAGTGACTGAAATACATCAAAAAAATGATGATGGCAATAAGAATGATGGTATGCTGTGCTGCTTTGAATGTAGTCTTTTAACATATCTGAACTTCAGAAAGTGTTTGCCTTTTGGAATCTTTTATCTCCATACTTTCATTGATGTTTTTGCAAGATTTTTTAATCTGTACAGTTTTTAATCTATCTATATAATAAAAGTCAAAGTATCTATCTATCTAGGAACCCCTGATGGAGCAGCGGGTTAAACCACTGAGCTGCTGAACTTGATGACCAAAAGGTCGGTGGTTTGAATCCGGGGAGCGGGGTGAGCTCCCGCTGTTAGACCCAGCTTCTGTCAACCTAGCAGTTCGAAAACATTCCAATGCAATTATATCAATATTTATTTATTTATTATTTACGGCATTTATATGCCGCCCTTCTCACCCCGAAGGGGACTCAGAGCGGCTTACAATATATATTTCCATACAATCTATTATTAGCATAGTACAATATCAGTATTATATATTACTATATTGCACTACATCATTATATTGTAATATTATTAGTAATATTTCATGTAATGTAAATATATAATGATAATTATAATATTGTATTATTATTATGACTAGTATTACATTGTATTACATTATAATATTATAAATATTATATGTATATACAATATACTATATTATATTATTAGTAAAGACAAGATGGAAATGTCTTCTGCTCCCCTCTGTCTTCCTTCTGGCCAGAGCAGCTGTTGGTGCTGCTCCGGCGGGAAGGTAATAATGCTCCACGCAGTCATGCTGGCCACATGACCTTGGAGGTGTCTACGGACAACGCTAGCTGTTCAGAGATGGGGATGAGCACCACCACCCAGAGTCAGACATGACTAGACTTAACATCAAGGAGAAACCTTTACCTCTGTCTGTCTGTCTGTCTGTCTGTCTGTCTGTCTGTCTGTCTGTCTGTCTGTCTGTCTATCTATCTATCTATCTAGTACTTTCCCAACAACTATGGATCTGGACCACACAGAGCCATCATGACCAATTTTAAGTACTAGCAGATTTGAGGGATGGTTGACCTAGAATGATGGGAGTTGTAGTTCACTCACATACAGAGAACTCTGTGAACCTCACAGACAAAGGATCTGTACCAAATCTGGCCCACATACCTATCACAACCAATTTTCATGCAGGTACAGATTGGGGGCAATTGTAGGTGATAGTGGGAGTTGTAGTTTGCTCACATACAGAGAACTCTGTGAACCCCACAGACAAAGGATCTGTACCAAATCTGGCCCACATACCTATCACAACCAATTTTCACTGCAGGTGCAGATTGGGGGCAATTACAGATTATGGTGGGAGTTGTAGTTTGCCCACATCCGTATGCCTTTTCTAATAGGATCATTTATAAAATCCAAAACACAACAATGACTATTTCTAATATGTATTGTTACAAAAGACCTAACCCAGGCATCGCCAGGTACCTAAGGCTGCCTTGACGCCTATCCTTGGATGGAAAAAATGCACTATAAATGCCTACAATATATATACACAAGCAAAGTAGTGTCCCCTTCGCCAGAGGATGCCCACTTCGATCGTAAACCAAAATGACCTCACCAGGCTTCCTCTATGAACCCAATGACGAACTTCCGGACCTCGACAGACTTGTCTGCCTGGAAAGCAATGATCTCCTGCAATGTAGGAACAAAGAAAGTTGCATTTCATTTTGGCCCGTGTTTTTTATACCAAAAACACAGTAAAAACCAAACATACAAAAACATTCTGAGCAATTGAATTTCAGAGGCTGATAAAGTTCAGAGGCTGAGTCTGAGGACCAGATAATGGGGGGCAATGGGGGGCTGAGAATGATGCTTAACCAAAGCAAAAATCAGAAGCTGGGGTTATAAAGCCCTTAGGAATCTCAAGGAAAAGCAGAGCACTCATTGACTAAACTGGCATCAACCTGAAATGTAAAGAAAAGGTTCAACTCGGTGCTTGCTTTTCCATTACAACTTAGTGACTGCATTTAATAACGCTATAAAAAATTGAAAAAAAAACTGTTCTTGGTTTGAAAGTATTATTTCCAGTTTAATTGTGTGGTGCTTACTTTGAGAGTACTGCATATACTCAAGTATGAGCCTAATTTTTCAGCCCTTGTTTTAGGATGAAAAAGTCCCCCTCGGCTTATACTCGAGTCAAGGTTATTTATTATTTTACTCTGTCATTATTATTATTATTATTATTATTATTATTATTATTATTGTTGCATTTATTATTTTACTCTATTTATTATTATTATAGTTATCATTTTACTTTATTATTATTACATTTATTATTTTATTTTATAAGTGTTATCATTAAATTTATTATTTTACTCTATGATTGTTATTATTACATTTGTTATTTCACTCTATATTATTATTATTCCATTTATTATTTTACTGTCTTTATTATTATTGGAAGGTACATAAGCACATTTACGTTGAAGGTTAGGGCAGTCTTATCTTAAATTACAATTTCATATAAATATTCAAAAAACATTTAACCTACTGAATCCTCAATTAATGTAATTTTATTGGTATCTATTTTCATTTTGAAATGTACCAGTAGCTTCTGAATTTCTCACCCTCAGCTTATACTTGAGTCAATCAATTTTCCCAGTTTCTGTGGTAAAATTAAGTGACTCAGCTTATATTCGGGTAGGCTTATACACGAGTATATACGGTAGTTGTTCTACTCCAGAAACTCAGTTTTGTGGTTGCCACAAACTAGGTTAAATTGGTTGAGACTCTATGAGGCATTCATTGAAAAACTATAGCCAAATGCGCTGTGGGATGTCCCTCCCGCAAATTGAATTGAACCAAACTTGGCACACAGGACTTTCAAGACCAACAGAAAACACTAGAAGGTTTTGATGGACATTGTCCTTGAGTTTGAGAGTTGTAGTTCACCTACATCCAGAGAGCACTTTGGACTCAAACAATGATGGAATATTTGATGGCACGAACATTCCATATGCTCAAATATGAACACAGATGGAGTTTGAGGGAAATAGAACCTGACATTCGGGAGTTACTGGGATTTATAGTTCACCTACAATCAAAGAGCATTCTGAACCCCACCAACGACAGAAATGGGGCAAACTTCCCACACAGAACCCCCATGACCAACGGAAAGTGCTTGTCCATCCAGTCCAACTCCCTTCACCAGGGCAAGAAAATGTAATAAAAAAAAAAAAAAAGAAAAAAAAAAAAAAAAAAAAAAAAAAAGAAAAAAAAAAACAAGAAAAAAAAAAAAGAAGAACAAAAAAAAAAAAAACAAGAAAAAAAAAAGAAGAAAAAAACAAGAAAACAAGAGGAGCAAGAAAGAACAAGAAGAAAAACAAAAAAGAAAGAACAACAAAAAAAAAAAAAAAAAAAAAAAAAAAAACAACAAAAAAACAAAAAAAAAAAAAAAAAAAAAAAAAAAAACAAAAAATAAAAAAAAAAAAAAAAAAAGCAAGAACAACAAAAAAACAAAAAAAAATCTCATAAACAAAATAAACAAAAAAAAACTCCCTTCACCAGGGCAAGAAAATGTAATCAAAGCCCTCCTGACAAAGAGCCACCAGCCATCCAGCCAGAGATATGGATAGATATAGATAGATATTAGGGCTGGGCGGTTTCGTTCGTTAATTTCGTAATTCGTTAATAATTCGTTATTTTTCTTGATAACGAAGCGATAACAAACCATTCAGGAGCAACTAAAAAACGAAACGAATTTTTAAAGCTATTTCGTAATTGTTTTGTAATTGTTTCGTTATTATTTCCGTATGTCTGGTGCAAGTTTTATAGTTGTTTCCCTCCCCTCTCCCTGGTTGCAAGCGGTCGGCATTTACCCCACTTCCGGGTCCCTGGCCTCTGCTTAAGTGGATCAAATTCTCCTCTCCTCCTGTCGTCACCTCACCTCGTTCCTCACTCTGGCCTGCGTGCATTGGGCAAAGAGACACAGCAGTGCAGCACTCAGAGACCTGCCTGTTGCCTGCCTAACCTCTTTCCTTCTCCAGGTTAAAACTATTATATTTATTATATTTATTATAATTATAATTATAATTATTATTATAATTATTATTATTATTATTAAGAATGGATGGCCATCTTTCAGTAGTGCTTTGACTTGCCTTACAAGCACGAAGGCAGAAAGTGGTTTGTTATTATTATTATTATTATTATTATTATTATTATTATTACTAGCTGTGCCCTGCCACGCGTTGCTGTGGCCTTTAGTAAGAGTTTTGAAGTCTCTGCCTGGCCTCTCTTCCTTCCTTCCCTCGCTCTCTTTCCCTCTTTCTCTCTCTCACACTCCTTCCTTTCCCCTCTTTCTCTCTCTTTCCCTCTTTCTCTCTCTCACACTCCTTCCTTTCCCCTCTTTCTCTCTCTTTCCCTCTTTCTCTCTCTCACACTCCTTCCTTTCCCCTCTTTCTCTCTCTCTTTCCCTCTTTCTCTCTCTCACACTCCTTCCTTTCCCCTCTTTCTCTCTCTTTCCCTCTTTCTCTCTCTCACACTCCTTCCTTTCCCCTCTTTCTCTCTCTTTCCCTCTTTCTCTCTCTCACACTCCTTCCTTTCCCCTCTTTCTCTCTCTTTCCCTCTTTCTCTCTCTCACACTCCTTCCTTTCCCCTCTTTCTCTCTCTTTCCCTCTTTCTCTCTCTCACACTCCTTCCTTTCCCCTCTTTCTCTCTCTTTCCCTCTTTCTCTCTCTCACACTCCTTCCTTTCCCCTCTTTCTCTCTCTCTTTCCCTCTTTCTCTCTCTCACACTCCTTCCTTTCCCCTCTTTCTCTCTCTCTTTCCCTCTTTCTCTCTCTCACACTCCTTCCTTTCCCCTCTTTCTCTCTCTCTTTCTCTCTCTGGCATCCCTCCTTCCTCCCCCTTCTTTATGCTTGTGTGTAAAATTGAGTATTTTCTGTTGGTCATAGGGGTTCAGTGTGGCATGTTTGCCCCAATTCTGTCATTGGTGGGGTTCACGATGCTCTTTGAGTGTTGGTGAACTGTGAATCCCAGTGACTACAACTCCCAAATGTCAAGGTCTATTTTCCCCAAACTTCATCTGTGTTCATATTTGGGCGTATTGAATGCTTATGCTAAGTTTGGTATGGATCCATCATTGTTTGAGTCCACAGTGCTGTCTGGATGTAGGTGAAGTACAACTCCCAAACTCAAGGTCAATGCCCTCCAAGCCTTTCCAGTGTTTTCTGTCGGTCATGGGAGTTCTGTGTGCCAAGTTTGGTTCAATTCCATCATTGGTGGAGTCCAGAATGCTCTTTGATTGTAGGTGAACTATAAATCCCAGGAACTACATCTCGCAAATGACAAAATCATAATTGTTTGAGTGATGGTCACTCCTTCTGTTGTGAGACGTTGTGTTGTGTTGTGGAGCCTCCCCCTCCTCTCCCCCCCCCCCCGCCTTTCCCTTCCCTTCCCTTCCCAGCACTCGCCTCTTTTGCTGCTCTTCCGTCGTCCCTCCCTCTGGCCGGAGTCGTCCAAAAAGGCAAGAAGGAAGCGGGCGGCAGGGGCGCGGCTTAGGCAAGAGAGGCTTCGTGCAGGGCCTAGCCTTGCACGAAGCCTCTCTCGCCTAGATCGCGCTCCCGCCGGGCGGCGGCGCGGCTTAGGCAAGAGAGGCTTCGTGCAGGGCCTAGCCTTGCACGAAGCCTCTCTCGCCTAAGCCGCGCCCCTGCCGCCCGGCGGGAGCGCGATCTAGGCGAGAGAGGCTTCGTGCAAGGCTAGGCCCTGCACGAAACCTCCCTCGCCTAGATCGCGATCCCGCCGGCTGGCAGGAACGCGGGTTAGGCGAGAGAGGCTTCGTGCAAGGCAGCCATTTTGAGGGGGCGGGACAGGGCAGGAAAGGGCGGGGATTGGAGGGGAGGAAGAAGGAGGGGGAGGAGATGAGATTGGGGAAGAAGGAGGAGGAGGTAAGAAGGGGAAGGGAGGGGTGGTGAGTTAGCGGCGTGTGTGTTTGTGTGGAAGGGAGGGGGGTTTGTTACCGGCGTTTGGTTGTGTTGCGGGGAAGGGAGGGGGTGTGTGTTAGCGGCGTGTGTGTTTGTGTGTTGCAGGGAAGGGAGGGGTGGTGAGTTAGCGGCGTGTGTGTTTGTGTGGAAGGCAGGGGGGTTTGTTACCGGCGTTTGGTTGTGTTGCGGGGGAGGGAGGGGGCGTGTTTTACCGGGAGGGGGCGTGTCTTACCGGAGCTGCGTTGGAGGAGGGAAGGAGTGTTTCAGGGCCGGAAGGGGTGGGGGAAAGTTGCGATGCGTGTGTGTGTGTGTTTGTGGGCGGCGACGTGTTCGTGCTGGGCGAGGGAGGGAGGGATGTGCGGAGGGTGCGTTGGCCATTCGGCCATGTGTGCGCGCGCGCTGGGGGCTTTGCTCCAGTGCGCATGCTCAGTTGTTTTGGCGATTTATCGTTGTGTTGTTGTGTTGTTTTCAATTCTGAGTGGATTAGTTTGTACCGAGTGGGTTGTCCTTGGGGCATGGCAATTTTGGTGCAGTTTCGTTGGGGGGTTGTGGAGTTTTGCTGTCCGGTTGAACCAACCTAACAGATTTATATATATATATTGAGAAGCATTGTCAAACCAGAATAGAGATCTCACCCCTCCTCTCTCTCTCTTTCCCCCCTCTTTCCTTCTCCAGGTTAAAACTATTATATTTATTATATTTTATTATTATTATTATTATTATTATTATTATTAAGAATGGATGGCCATCTTTCAGTAGTGCTTTCACTGTGCCTTACATGCACGAAGGCAGAAAGTGGTTTGTTGTTATTATTATTATTATTATTATTATTATTATTGAGAAGCATTGTCAAACCAGAATAGAGATCTCACCCCTCCTCTCTCTCTCTTTCCCCCCTCTTTCCTTCTCCGAGGTTAAAACTATTATTTAAAACTATTATTTTCACGTTGCGCAACTGCGTCCGCCATTTTAACGAATTGATTCGTTAATATTAACGAAATTTCGTAAATATCAAACTTTTTAAAAGGAAAATTTCGGAATTCTTTTAAATATCGAAACGCAAAAAACCCCAAAAAACGAATCGATTTTAGAAACAATTTTTTCCGTTGTTACCCAGGCCTAATAGATATATATTATTCATACACACACAGATATAGTATCATAGATTTGAAAGGGACCCTTAAAGAAGGACAATTATATGTTGCATGTTCCAGAGTAGGCAAACCAGACAATCTTCACATCAACACTGACAAAGAAACAAAAAGAAATACTATTTACCCACAAGCATAAAAAATTAAATATATTAGAAACCAACACTTTCTCATTACTTTATTTTCCAGATCACCAGACTGGGCCACAGCAACACCTGGCAGGGGACGGCTAGTATCATTATATTGTAATATTATTAGTAATATTACATGTAATATAAATATATAATTATAATATAATATTATTAGTAGTATTATTATATTGCATTACATTATAATATTATAAATATTATATGTATATACAATATATTATATTACATTACATTATATTATTAGAAATGCACAGGAGAGAAGATGGAACTGTCTCCTGCCCCCCTGCCCCCCCTTCACTCTGGTCCAGAGTGGCAGTTGGTGTCTTGCATGATGCTGTCTGGCAGAATTTCCAAAACTGTTCCAAGTGGAAAAGTGTGAGTTTGCTTTGGTGCCAGACTGCTCACTTTCAAGACTGACATCTGAACCAACACACGTAAATAACTGTCTTCCTTTCTCTAATGCCACTATTCTTGTTGGGAAAGGAGTAAGGGGTAGGCTTCCCTCAGATGACAGAACCAAGCAAGCAGCAATTCCTACAGTCTGAGGTCCAAAGAAATGGGAGGAAGACACTGGCTATATCACACATCAACAAATACTTACATCCAGGAAATTATCCAGTAAGGTGGGGTCCTTGTTTATAATCAGTTCTTGGACCTGAGAAAGGAAGAAAAACAGGGGAAGAAAGGTTAATGGATTCAAACATGAAACACCCAGAATATTTCTGCTGCACCAACAGATTCTTTAAAAATCTTTGCTATTTGCTAGGACTGGGCTGTGGCACAGCTAGTTAGTAGCCAGCTGCATTAAATCACTACTGACCGAGAGGTCATGAGTTCGAAGCCAGCCCAGGTCGGAGTGAGCTCCCAACCATTAATAGCCTAGCTTGCTGTTGACTTATGCAGCCCGAAAGACAGTTAATAATAATAATAATAATAATAATAATAATAATAATAAAAAATCTTTATTTATACCCCGCTATCATCTCCCCAAGATGGAGCCCCCGATGGCGCAGTGGGTAAAACCCCTGTGCCGGCAGGACTGAAGACCAACAGGTTGCAGGTTCAAATCCAGGGAGAGGTGGATGAGCTCCCTCTATCAGCTCCAGCTTCTCATGCGGGGACATGAGAAGCCTCCCACAAGGATGATAAAAACATCAAATCATCTGGGCGTCCCCTGGGCAACGTCCTTGCAGACGGCCAATTCTCTCACACCAGAAGCGACTTGCAGTTTCTCAAGTCACTCCTGACACGACAACACGACAAAAAAAAAATCTCCCCAAGAGACTCGGTGCGGCTTACATGAGGCCAAGCCCACAGTACATCAATAAACGAAGGCAATAACAAAACTATCAATGCAATACAATGAATATAAATCACATAGACAAAACAATAAACAATAACACACAAGCAATTAAAAAAATCAATGGCAGGGCCAAATGTAATAATTAAAAAATTTAAAAAATAACGCTGAGCATGAACAAGGTAGGATATAACTGGTATAGGGTTTTCAAAAAGAGATGAGGGAATGCAGTCAGTCCTAAATCAATGCTAAAGTGCATTTTGAGGGCATACTGCTGAGAGTTTTCCTTTTTCTGGGAAGGCACACTAGAACAACCACGTTTTCAGGCTCCTCCTAAAGACTGCCAGAGTTGGGGCATGTCTGATGTCCTTGGGAAGTGAGTTCTAGAGTCAGGGGACCACCATCGAGAAGGCCCTCACTCTCATCCCCACCAAACGCGCCTGCGAAGGAGGTGGGAGCGCAAGCAGGGCCTCTCCAGATGATCGAAGAGATCATGTGGGTTCGTACACAGAAATGCGGTCACGCAGGTAGACGGGTCCCAAACCGTTCAGGGCTTTGTAGGTTGTTGCATCTGTCAAGTAGGAAATTTAGGTACTGTTTTATGCAGGGAGGCTAATTTAACTAATTTATGACACCATAAAACTTTCCAGCAGCAAGCATAAGAATGAGGACGTACTCCATCAAGGACTCGGTGTCACAAGTGGATGGTTAAGCAACAGCTCCCCCTGTAGCTGGAATCGAACATATGCTCATGAAGCCGGAAAACTGGAATGATAAATTGCCTCTGTGTCTGTCTATATACGCTGTATGTCTAAAGGCACTGAATGTTTGCCATGTATACGTGCATTGTAATCCACCCTGAGTCCCCTGCGGGATGAGAAGGGCGGAATATAAATACTGTAAGTAAATAAATAAATATTTGGAGATATCAGCTCCTGCTGGGTCCTGCTAAACAAGATGCACTCAGATGAGTGATTATGGGAGATGAGGTCCAAATAATCTGATTTAAACAGAGCCAAGTGAGGTTCCAGTCTCAGAAACATGCAATGCAGTCACTTACCTGCTTGAGAATTGTGATTTTCGATTCATTGCTGATTAAGGCTGCTTGGTTTAGCAAATCCACAACCTGTTTGAACAAATTTTTAAAAATCAACAACACCGGAATCAGTGCTAAAGGCATAATAGGACTTTTATCATCTGTCTATCTATCAAGAAATAGTTTTCTAAGATCTACAGAGACACTCGTTGGAACACCTCAGCAAGCGAGAGTCCAAAAGTGGCAGGTTCAAACCCAGAACCTCAACCAATAGCTGATACCAAATGAGAGACTCCCCCCTGTGCACACAGAAGACTGGACGACTTGGAAAGCGCTGAACAGACTGCACTCTGGCACCATGAGATGCAGAGCCAACCTTAAGAAATGGGGCCACAAAGTGGAGTCCACGACATGCGAGTGTGGAGAAGAGCAAACTACAGACCATCTGCTGCGATGCAACCTAAGCCCTGCCACATGCACAATGGAGGACCTTTTTAGAGTAACACCAGAGGCACTCCAAGTGGCCAGATACTGGTCAAAGGACATTTAATCAACTACCAAGCTTGCAAACTTCATGTCTTGTTTGTTTGTTAAAAATGCAATACCACTGTTTGGTTTGCTCCTGACACGATAAATAAATAAAAAAATCCTCTCTCTATTTCAATCTTTGAATAGACAGGTATGCATACGTGAACATTTCTAGTACTGACTATTATAAAAGGTCATAGGAGAGAATATTAAACAATCTTGAGCTGAAAGTAAGAAAAGTCCAGATTTCCGTTTGAAAATGTGTTGCAAAAATGTATTGCCTCTATTTAGCAGAAGTAAATGCAATTAGCATATGATAACACTATGTAACACGATTTTTGTTCCTGGGTTTAAAAAGTCATTTTCTAATTGGTTCTATCATAAAAACATGGAAAAGGTTGAATAAACTGCAAAAACTTTGATTTTGTGGGAAGGTTTGCTATAGTTTTCAATTAGTATTTATTTATTATTTATTTAGAGCTTTTCTCGACCTCCGAAGAGGGAGTCAGGCCAGCTAACAGGAGGAAATTCATACACAAGTAGGATAAACATAATAGCATCATAATACATTAATACATAAAATACATTAAAATACAGATCATACAATTACAAAAAGCCAGGTCGTCGAAGTAGTATCTCATAGAGTCTCAACCAATTCGACATAGTTTGTGGCTGTCACAAAAAAAAAGTTTGTGGAGCATAACAACTACTTTCAAAGTAAGTACCACAAAATTAAACAAAAAATAACACAACCCACAGGTTGGGAACCACTATTTTAGACCCAGATCCTCCCTTTAGGAATGCCACCTTACCCTTTCGGAGGTGGTCATGGTGTCAATGGCAGTAGTCTCCTCTCCGGCAAAGAATTGGGATGCGATGCTCATCCGAGCAAGACCTGGGTCTCCTGCGCTGCTCACATTCGCCATGGTTCCTGACCTCTGGCCTCTCCAATAGCCAAACTCCAGTAAATGAGATCAAGACCTATTAAAAGGAAGCATGGAAAGCAACATTGCAATAAGGAAACTCCCAGGATACATCTATACTGCCATGTCATCCAGATTATCAAAGTAGATCCATATTATCTGCCATCTGTCAGGAGAGCTTGGATTGCGAGTTCCAAAATTCCTAAATGCCCCATTGGCCCCCTTCTACAAGGGTTGAATGAAAAGTAATGCCTCCACCTTCATTACTTGGGTTTGGATGGGAATATTTTAATAAATCAAATGCAGAGATAATCCTTAGAATGCGCTCTTTAACTACCACTATTCACCTTTCCACATAATCACCAGACAATTGGATACATTTCTGCCAACGATGAACAAGTTTTCTGAAGCCGTCATAGAAGTTGACACTCTGTTTCCGCAACCAGCGTTCTCACAGTTCTCTCAACGTCCCCATTGTGCACAGATCTTTCGATAGCCAAGCAAAGCAATAATGTGACCCACACGTTCTTGTTAAATGCCGATTATGCTTGAAATTTCTCTCTGATACGACGATCGTCCTGAATCAAGCTTTCAAACTTTTGCATGTGAAACTTGTTGGTTGCTGTCACAGGACGTCCAACTCTTTGTCACGCAAGTCAGATGTTCCCATCTCAACATCTTTAAACTTATTTGCCCAACAACGGACAGCCGTCACAGAAGAAGTCGACACTCTTGTTTCCGCAACCAGCACCTCAGTTCTCTCAACGACTTCATCAGAAGCATAATGATGTCCCCACATATCTTCTTTCATTATCGGGAACAGATGGAAGTCAGACGGTGATAAATCTGGACCGTATGGAGGATGCCATACGGTGGTGAGATCCAGTCTCTGAAGTTCTGCAGTGCACCCATTGTGCACAGATCTTCCGATAGCCAAGCAAAGCAATAATGTGACCCACACATTCTTGTGAAATGCCGATTATGCTTGAAAATTCTCTCTGAGTGATACGACGATTGTCCTGAATCAATCTGTCAACCTTTTGCTTGTGAAACTCAGTGGTTGCTGTCACAGGACGTCCAACTCTTTGTTTGTCACGCAAGTCAGATGCTCCTATCTCAACATCTTTAAACTCACTCATCCAGCGACGCACAGTACTCACATCTACACAATCCCCATCAACAGCCTGCATTCTCTGATGAATCTCCTTTGGGGTGACACCTTCTGCTGTCAAGAATTCAATGACTGCACGTTGCTTAAGTTGCATTGACCGACCGTCTGCACAGGGTTCCATACTTTGCACTTTAACAACACAACCATTCAATGCTAAGGCTCCCCGCAAAACTGGAACTGCAGAGGAGAGTTTACTGAACAAGCCAGTACCTGCCGAATACCAGGACTGCCATCTGTTGAGGAGTTACGAAGGTGGAGGCATTACTTTTCATTCAACCTTCGTAATTCTTACTGATGCAGCTTAGAATCACATTGACCTTCCTAGCTGCTGTATCACATTCTGGGCTCATGTCAATTCATGGCCTACTAAGGGCCCTGTTCACACAGCCATATAACCCAGAATATCAAGGCAGAATAACCCACAAGATCTGCTTTGAACTGGGTTATCTGAGGGCCCTGTCCACACAGCCATATAACCCAGAATCTCAAGACAGATAACCTACAAGATCTGCTTTGAACTGGGTTATCTGAGGACCCTGTCCACACAGCCATATAACCCAGAATATCAAGGCAGAATAACCACACAGCCATATAACCCAGAATATCAAGGCAGAATAACCCACAAGATCTGCTTTGAACTGGGTTATCTGAGGGCCCTGTCCACACAGCCATATAATCCAGAATATCAAGGCAGAATAACCCACAAGATCTGCTTTGAACTGGGTTATCTGAGGGCCCTGTCCACACAGCCATATAACCCAGAATATCAAGGCAGAACAACCCACAAGATCTGCTTTGAACTGGGTTATCTGAGGGCCCTGTCCACACAGCCATATAATCCAGAATATCAAGGCAGAATAACCCACAAGATCTGCTTTGAACTGGGTTATCTGAGGGCCCTGTCCACACAGCCATATAATCTAGAATATCAAGGCAGAACAACCCACAAGATCTGCTTTGAACTGGGTTATCTGAGGGCCCTGTCCACACAGCCATATAACCCAGAATATCAAGGCAGAACAACCCACAAGATCTGCTTTGAACTGGGTTATCTGAGGGCCCTGTCCACACAGCCATATAATCCAGAATATCAAGGCAGAATAACCCACAAGATCTGCTTTGAACTGGGTTATCTGAGGGCCCTGTCCACACAGCCATATAATCTAGAATATCAAGGCAGAACAACCCACAAGATCTGCTTTGAACTGGGTTATCTGAGGGCCCTGTCCACACAGCCATATAACCCAGAATATCAAGGCAGAATAACCCACAAGATCTGCTTTGAACTGGGTTATCTGAGGGCCCTGTCCACACAGCCATATACCAGAATATCAAGGCAGAATAACCCACAAGATCTGCTTTGAACTGGGTTGAGGGCCCTGTCCACACAGCCATATAACCCAGAATATCAAGGCAGAACAACCCACAAGATCTGCTTTGAACTGGGTTATCTGAGGGCCTTGTCCACACAGCCATATAACCCAGAATATCAAGGCAGAATAACCCACAAGATCTGCTTTGAACTGGGTTATCTGAGGGCCTTGTCCACACAGCCATATAACCCAGAATATCAAGGCAGAATAACCCACAAGATCTGCTTTGAACTGGGTTATCTGAGTCCACATTGCCATATATTCCAGTTCAAGGAAGATAATGTGTGGACTGGGCCTAAGATTCCCATGTCCCTTTCTAATGGGCTGTTTTCCCTCCTCTAGGAAAGCCCCCCCCCTCGCAATGACCTCATCCCCTTCTTGTTGCCATGACAACCCATTACTCCCAATAAGGCTCCTTGACAGTCACTAGGCCCCACGCTCCTTTTCCCTTCTCTTACCGACGAACCCTCGCTCACTTCTTCACCAAAAGAAGCCAAACACTTCTTTAGTTTTCCTACATGAAGTCACCATATCCGCCGACGCAAATTCCTCCAAAATTTTTAATGACCTACCACTGCGCATGCGCAGAGAGAAAAGTGCTCCTTGGTAATGTAGTCTTCCTGTCTCGACTTACGTCACTTCCTTCCTCTTTACCCCCTCCCTTTCGCGTTTCTAGCTGAAGATGTTTTCGAGCCCAGCCACTGACGTCACTCCCTCCGCAGCCTATCAGAACACAGCCACCGCTTACAAATGGCTGCCGTTTGCCACTGACGTCACTCCCTCCCCAGCCTATCAGAACACGGCTTTCGTTTACAAATGGCTGCCGTTTGCAATCAGTTGTGGGTAATGTAGTTTTTACGGAAAGGCAAAGTATGTTTGTTGGTTTGTACCACAAAGGCTCCTCCGTGGCTCAATGGATCCGGACTAAATTTGGCACAGAGGCACTTCACGCTCTAACTTAACATAATTGATAGGCTTGAAGTAAAAGAATAGTCCCTTTCGGGCCCAGAACAGAAGGGAAAGGAAAAGAACAAAGCTGATTGGCTGTTGCTAGGCAACAGGTAGATGAGGGACGGGAGGAAGGAAAGAAAGGGAAGGAAGAAAAAGGAAAAAGAGGGAAGGAAGAGAAGGAAAAGGAGAAAGGTCTAGCAAGGAAAGAAAGAAAGAAGAGGGGAAAATGAAGGAGGGAACGAAAGAAAGAAGAAGAGAAATGAAAGGAAAAGGAAGGAAAGAAAGAAGAGGGGAAAGTGTATGAGGGAACGAAAGAAAGAAGAAGAGAAAATGAATGAGGAAAAGGAAGGAAAGAAAGAAGAGGAGAAAGTGTATGAGGGAACGAAAGAAAGAAGAAGAGAAAATGAATGAGGAAAGGGAAAGAAGGAAAGAAAGAAGAGGGGGAAATGAAAGAGGGAACAAAAGAAAGAAAAAGAGAAAAGGAATGAGGAAAAGGAAGGAAAGAAAGAAGAGGAGAAAGTGTATGAAGGAACGAAAGAAAGAAGAAGAGAAAATGAAAGGAAAAGGAAGGAAAGAAAGAAGAGGAGAAAGTGTATGAGGGAAAGAAAGAAAGAAGAAGAGAAAATGAATGAGGAAAAGGAAAGAAGGAAAGAAAGAAGAGGGGGAAATGAAAGAGGGAATGAAAGAAAGAAGAGAAAATGAATGAGGAAAAGGAAGGAAAGAAAGAAAGAAGAAGGGAAAGTGTATGAGAGAAAGAAAGGGAAAAAGGAAAGAAATGAAAGAAGGAAAGAGAACGAAGAGGGGAATGGGGGAAATGGGGGAAAGAAAGAGAAGGAAAAAGCGGGGAATGTGTGAGGAAAAAAAGAAAAAGAAGCAGGGAAAGGATGAGGGAAATGGAGGAAGGAAAGAAAAAAAGAAGAAGGTGTATGAGGGAAAGCAAGGGGAAAAGGAAGGGAAGGGAGAAAATTTAGAGGGAGAAGGTTTATGAGGAAAATGGAGGAAGGAAAGAAAGAGAAGGAAGGGAGGAATGGGACAAAAAAGTGGAAGGAAGAGAAAGGAAGGGAAGAAAGAATGGACAAAGAGGAAAGAAAAAGGAAAGAAAGAAAGATAAGAGTATAATGGAATTCAAGGGAAGACAGGAAGAAAGAGGACTGTGGAAGAGAGGAAAGATGGAAAAGGGAAAGAACAGAAGGATGAGAAAGAGAGGGGAAAGTGAATGAGGGAAAGAAAGAAGAAGGAAAAATGAATGAGGAAAAGAAAGTAAAGAAGGAAAAAAGCAAGGAAAGAGAAAGAAAGAAGAGGGGAAAATAATGAGAGAAAGAAAGGGAAGAAGGAAAAAGCAGGGAACGTGTGAGGAAAAAAGAAAGAAGGGAGCAGGGAAAGTATGAGGGAAATGGAGGAAGGAAGGAAGGAAAGGGATAAGGTGTATGAGGGAAAGAAAGGGAAGAAAAAAAGAAAAAAGGAGAACGTGAATGAGGGAAAGAAAGAAGAAGAGGGGAAAGTGTATGAGGGAAAGGAAGGGAAGAAGGAAACAAAAAGAAAGAAGGAAAGTGTATGAGGGAAGAAAGGGGAGAAGGAAAGAAAAAGAAAGGCGGAAAGTATATGAGGGAAAGAAAGGAACGAAGGACGGAATGAAAGAAAGGAGTTTAGATGAGAAAGAAAGAAAGAGGGAAAGTGTATGAGGAAAAAAGAAGACGAGGGTAAAGTATTGAGGGAAAGAAAGGGAAGAAGGACGGAAGAAAAGAAAAGGGAAAGTGTACTAGGGAAAAAAGAAGAAGAGGGGAAAGTGAATGAGGGAAAGAAGAATGAAACAAAAAGAAAAAGTGGAAGTGTATGCGGGAAAGAAAGAAAAGAAGGACAGAAAGGAAGAAAAGGGAAAATATGAGGGAAAGAAAGTTAAGAAAGAAAGAAAAGGTGAAAGTGAATAAAGGAAAGAAAGAAGAAGAGGGTTAATTGTATGAGGGAAAGAAAGAAAAGGATGGAAAGAAAAAAAGATAAAAGGGTATGAGATAAAGAAAGGAAGGAAGGGGAAAGTGCATGAGGGAAAAGGGAAAATGAATAAAGGAAAGAAAGAAGAAGGGGAAAGTATTTGAGGGAAAGAAAGAAGGAAGGAAGAGGGCAATGTGTATGAGGGAAATGGAGGAAGAAAAGAATGAGAAAAAATGGGAAAGTATATGAGATAAAGGGAAGAAAGAAAGAAGGAAGGAAGGAAAGTGAAGGAGGAAAAGAAAGAAGAGGGTAAAGTGTATGAGGGAAACAGGAAAGACAAAGAAAGGGGAAAGTGTGTGAGAGAAAGAAAGGAAGAAAAGAAAGGAAAAAGGAAAAGTGTATGAGATAAAGGGAGGAAAGAAAGAAAGAAGGAAAGTGAAGGAAGAAAAGAAAGAAGAAGAGGGTAAAGTGTATGAAGGAAAGAAAGGAAAGACAAAGAAAGGGGGAAAGTGTATGAGGGAAGGAAAGGAAAGAAGGGTGGAACGAAAGAAAGGGGAAAGTGTGTGAGAGAAAGAAAGGAAGAAAAGAAAGAAAGAAGAATAGGGGAAAGTGTATGAGGGAAAGAAAGGAAAGAAGGACGGAAAGAAAGAAAGGGGAAAGTGCATGAGGGGAAGGGAAGAAAGAAAAGGGGGAAATGAATAAGGGAAAGAAAGAAGAAGAGGGGAAAGTGAGGGAAAGAAAGAAAAGGAAGGAAGAGGGGAATGTGTATGAGGGAAATGGAGGAAGGAAATAATGAGCCACAATGAAGATGCATACCCTGACAATGCCAGGTATATGCTCTAGTAGGAATATAAAAAAAACATTCAATATTTCGTGTCATGAACATAAAATATTAAAATATATTAAAAACTACACAGCCTCCCAAAGTACTGTCCTATAATTATGAAACCCTCTTTTTGGGGTCCTTTAAACAGCGTGTCAACTGGCCAGTTTCCCCACCCAACCTGAGTCCTTTCCTGCTTTGAGCGGCCTGCCTCTGAGGCTTATTGTGCAATGAGGTGCAGCAAAGATTGGGTTACGAAGCCTCCTCCGTTTAGGATTAGAGAGGCAGGAGGCAATTAGTTAAATGTGTTCTCGTTGGCCCCCACTTTCTTTTGTGTGTTTTCTAGATCTTTAATCCCAAAACCGATGGATGGACCAGGTTTTCTCTTGACAACGCTGTGCAAAAGCAGGGAAATGTCCGTGGCAACCGAAGCTCCTAGGAAATATGATTCGGGGCGACAAGGACGACATGAAAGGAGGATGAGAGCATTAAATAAGAAGAGGGCCAATGGAAGCCAAATGGAGAAGAGCTAAACTAGAGTTCGAGAATCCAGGACCAGACCACACTGTAGAACTGATGGAGTTTGACACCATTTTTAAGTGCCATGGCTCAATGGGGTCAGAGGAACTGTGGGTTTACCAGGCTTTTGCCTTTTTTACCCAAGAGAGCCAAACTAAAAATCCCAGGATTTTTAGAGAATTCATGCTGCCATATAATCCAGATTATCAAAGCAGATAATCCACATTATCCACTTTGAACTCTGATTATATGAGACCCCCTTCCACACTGCCTCAATATCCCAGGATCTGATCCCAGATTATCTGGGAGTGGCGACTCAAATAATCAAGTTCAAAGTCCGCACTGCCATATATTCCAGTTCAAAGCAGATATTGTGGGATTTCCTGCCTTGATATTCTGGGTTATATGGCTGTGTGGAAGGGCCCCCAGTTGGCATGAAGGACCATGTTGTCTCTGAAGATGTCCTGATTCAACACTTTAGGGTTGTGCGTTCAAGTCCTATCTCCTCAAGGAATAGCAAGCTTAGTCCTTGAGAAGGGGATGCTTCCCAGTCTAGGGATGTTATCACATGAGGCTGATATAATGTAATTATATATACGGTTCTGGCCCAGCTTACTTGTCCGAACGTATCCACCTCTACGTCACACCTCGTAATCTAAGATCATCCGGGGAGGCCCTGCTCTCGCTTCCGTCAACAGCACAGATGCGTCTGGCAGGGACGAGAGACAGGGCCTTCTTGGCTGTGGCCCCCCGCCTATGGAACACACTCCCAAATGAGGTAATATCCGCTCCCTCCCTCCTGGCTTTTAGAAAAAAATTAAAATCATGGTTCTGGAACCAGGCCTTCGGACAGTAGATGTATGTAGCATTTTAGAGGGATGTTGACTGGAACGGCAAGTCAACTGACGAGACTGTTTTATTGTTTTAATGCTTTTTGATGTATTGTTTTAATTGTGATGTATGTTTAATTGTGGTTTTACTATTGTAATTGTATTGGCATTGTATCGGTGCCCAACGTAAGGCATTGAATCTTGCTATTGTTTATGTGTAAACCTCTTTGAGTCCCCCCAGGGGTAAGAAGGGCGGTATATAAAGACTGTAAATAAATAAATAAAAATTACAGAGGGATAAAAGCGGCTCTGGTCCTTCACACTTCTTCTCGTTCTCCTTCCTCTTGAATGTCCCAAATTGCCAATGGTCCAACCTTCACCTTTCTTCTTCTTCTTCCTTCTCTTATTCTTCCTCTTCCACTTCTTCCTCTTTCCTTTCTTCCTTATCTTCTTCCTCTTCTCTGTTTGCTCCTCCTCCTTCCGCTCCCTCTTCTTTCTCTTCACCTGCTTCTTCTCCTTCTTCTTCATCTTCCT